TTTTCGATCTAAAAACCGATTATAAAGAAAGTTCATTCATTCACAATGATTTCATAGTTTTTCTAACGTCAAAGTGCGTGAGAGTGGAAACCTTTTATTTATTAAGTTTTCCAAAGTCCATTCGTATCGTGGAATTATTAAATTATTTTTGTTTGGTTCTTGTGGGTCGTGTGATAGATATCCGCAATGTAACGAATATCTTGTCCTTTTACGCCATCACAGGAAGTGACGTCACGCCACTGCTGTTCTTTCATGTCTATTTCCAAGTTTTCATGAATTTATTTATTTTTGGCAGCTTTTTAAGTGGGCGGGATTTCACCCAACACTGCTGTAGCAAACGGACCATTACAAATATCCATATCCGAACCTGGATTCGAACCAGGGACTCTTGCCACCGCAGTCGAGCTTCAACTCTACTGCACCACACGACATTTATAGTGTTTCAAAAGCACACTTCTTTGCTGTTCACGCTGGGCACAATAGGTACCCATCAGTGGGAAGCTATACTTTCTGCAGAAGTGTTCGTCACAAAACTGGACAAGGTTGGTATCATAACTCCATTAAACTTAACTTGTTCGGGGTATCGACTCGGCTCGTATCTTTTGCGCGGCGTCTTTTCTCCTCTTCAGGTGGCTGATTCGATAGTTCCCACCGACGCGACGGTGGGCGTCGCGTTAGTCGGTAAGGGAGAAGTCACTACCAGATGGCCGTTTGGGAGAACCCGCACGCCCTTGACCCCGTCTCTGATAATGATAACCAAGTAGGGCTTCCCAGAGTGGTGAAGCGTTTCCGGGTTTCGGGAGCTGCGAATTAGTTGTCTCCTCTTGGGATTCCATCTAATTTCCATCATTGCTGCATATTATACGGAGTAAATCTCATTAGGTAATTTTTTTATCTCTGAAATGTCGTTCAGACTAGCATCTATCCTCGATGTCCTGGGGAAAGAAGTTGAAAATTGCTACATTCCCATTCTCACTTCTTCTATAGATATCGTTCTCTGTGGTGGTAAACCCAATTGATTTGTACTAATTTTCAAGAAGATGATTGACCTAACTCTATGAGTATATGGTGTTAATAAATTTGTATTCACTTTTCTATAGGATTTTATACTTTTATTTGTTACTCAGTTGTAAACGTTGATTAACAAGACAAAACGCAAACGGGTAAACGTCATGTTTAAACGCTACTGACTTGTAAAACTGACAGCAGACTGTAAAACTGACAGCAGACCTGTAAAAATTTTACAAGTTAGTAATCTAGTAATTTCATTGGCCAGAATTAATGCGAAGTCTCTGTTACATGGATCACATGATATTTTAGACATTTCTTCAAGATCAATTTAAGAACTAATTATTTACGTTTACTATTGTTTACAAATGAGTAACAAATAAAATATTGTACATTATACGCCAGGTAATAGTTTTTACTGGCTCTAGGAGATGACAGGCTCGCCTAACGGCTCGCCAGTCAACTTCTCCTATCGCCAGTAAAAACTCACTTACCTGGCTAATAATGTAAAATACTATAACAATACCAGTCTAAAAACCTGCATTAGTATATATTACAATATAGTCACAGAATGCTCCTCTAATTTTGTTATTATTGCAGATAAAAATTAGGTTAAATGTGCAACAATTTTCGGTTTTGTGGTCATCGCCAAAAACTGACAACGCTGGAAAACCTTGTCTCCTTCTGTTTAATCTCGGTATGAGATTAAGATAGTTTTGGGGTAGATTGTAAGGCGGCACCCGTCACTGTGCCAAATTGTAGACTTGGAACCTTACACCCCAAATGAGTACAAACAGCCTAAGCTATAATACTGGTTTATTCATAATATTTACACGTTTATATACAAAATTGTTGTCCTAGTTCTACCATTTGTTTACCTAGCTCAGCGATACTATTATTCTATTATTTGCATTTTCATGCCTTACTCAATTGACCTGTTTTATCTATGCATAATAATGATGTCTTAATACCTACTTATTACATGAATTACTTAATATTGTTTAATTCTAGATTAATCCCAGATTAATCTGTGATTGAACATTCTGCCGGCCGCAATGGTGCATGTACAGTTGACAACTGAACATCTTGCCCCGGCCGCAACGGCTGACTGGTACCTGGGGTGGCGTACAGTGGCTCCATCATCTGTGACTCCTGTGCTCGTGCTGGATTTTCCCTGTTCTTTTGAACTCGCCTTTTTAGTTTCCATACCGTGTAACTTAATATAATTGTTCCTACTATTATAGTAGCACTCAAACTGCTAGTTAAGATGGAGTGTGAGGTAACCTTGGTCCATGATGCGTTACCTAGTTCCTCTTGTATCGACTCTTCTTCTTGCCTTAAGGCGTTGAGCTGATCTGTTGTCTTCAATATTGTTTCTTTTTGTATGGTGTCCATGGGTGGTTGTCGTTCTAATGCTGACGTAATGTTTATGTTTACTGTCCTGTGGTAGCTTGTGATTATTGACACTGTGTCTTGTCGCGTTGGACTCAGAATGCTTTGCTTTGTTTTTAGAAAGCATTCTTGCGAGATTTGAATGATTCCCGTTTGATTCAGTGTTATGTCATGCCTGATTCCATTACATATGACTGCTGCTTTACTGACGTCCTTAGCGATGAACATCCAGGTGTTAGGCATATACATCTGTTTCCAAATTGTCGTCTTGACGTGCTGTTTTGTTATTCTGCACGTGTTCTCGGTGGTTCGTTGATAAAGTTGGTCTAGTATGCAGTTTGGACTTTGTTCGATGTTGTTGACTACTGTCGGTGTGCAGATTTTTGTGTGTTCCCCGTTTGAAATACTATTTTTGAATTCTTCTTCACCCAACTGGAAGTATGATTGTGTGTTGTAATCAACTGCGATGACTCCGTTCCCAACCTCCATTACCCAATATGTCTCGTTCTGCATCCTTAATGGTATTGGAGTTACCTTTATTACTATGTACTGCGCGACTTCTGCCATTATAAAGTATCCTGATACATGAATTTGATGAGTGTCTTGCTTGATGGTCATCTTCCTTATTGGATGTGCTAATATTTCCACGTCCGATGGTAGTTTTTTAGATGCTGTTGCTATAAGTTCTTTCACATGTGCCTCTGTTATTACATCATTAAAGTTTCCTCGACCTCGACTTATGTCTAATAGTCTAGAGTAATAAGCATATACTTCGGTGATGAGGTTGCTTGCTATCTGATAGGTGCTGAGTATGTGTATGTCCATCTGATTTTCATCTATGGTTTTGTACCATTTTTCCATTTTGATGATTGCCTCTAGGCCTCTGTTTAGTTTCTTCCTGAAGTTCTCGAGTTGTTGATTAATTCTGGTTTCGGTGTGGTTAAACGTTGAAAGTGCTGACAGCATGAACTTTGTTTGACGGTCGGTTATCTTCATTAGCTCCTGCTGATTTTTGTTGAGTGCGTTTATATCTTTGTACACTTCATCGTTTACTCCAAAAATTGACGTTAATAAGTTTCCTAATATTCCTCTTCTTTGCCTGGTGCGCATGATCCCATGTATTCCTGTTTGTAACCACTCAATTTGCTTGCCCAATTCATCGATGTGATGTGTTAATTCTTGGCAGTGTATGTTGTCTGATAGTGCCTTGGCTTTCGTACATAATTCCTTGAACTGTTTTGTGGTGTTAATGGCGTTCTGTAAATCCTCTTCCATGGCGTTCTTGTTGAATTTTAGGTCAATTCGAAATATGCCTCTTTCGATTCTTCCGTGCCCTATATGCTCTACATAAAGGCCAGGCTGTGGGTGCACCATTGTAAAATTTGCTGATGCTATCGTTAACCATGTTAGGAATCCCAATGCCACTTGAAGAACTTGAGACGGCATTGGTTTCCTCCTTGCTCGGCCGTCTTCTTCTTCCCGCCGCCTTGCTGGATTTGAATGGATTGTTATTAGCTGCTGTATACTTCTTCTGCTGCTCTTTCCTTCTTGTTTGCGGATCGTTACTACCTGTACCTTCCCATCTTTTGCGGGATGTACTTCTGTTACCCTTGTCTTTGATGTGAGTAATGTTACTTCTCCATCCTTTGGTCTGGTGTATACTGCAGCTCCATATGCTTTTTTGGAAGTATCGCAGAATCCGTGTAGCTGTAGCTCTTCGTCTGTGTGCTGAATCCATCTTGGGATCTTTAATTCTTGTAATAGAACTACCTCCTTACGAAAGTTTGTCCACTTTTCCGCTATATCTTCCGGTACTTCCTGGTCCCATGTGACTGACTTCATCCATAGCTCTTGAATTAATAATTTGGCTGTTACTGTCACTGGGCTGACTAATCCTAGCGGATCGAATATCTTTGCGATATCTGACATTATGCTGCGCTTTGTCATTGACTTGTCGCTGACTTCCACTCTGAACCTGAATACCTCTTGTTGTGGGAACCATCTCATCCCTAATGAGGTTCTTGCTTCGTCCTCTCTGATTTCTAGTGGTTCAGGTACTCGCTGATCTTCTTTCCATAAATCTGGATGATTTCCGGCCCATTTTCTCAGTGTAAATCCTCCTGCATTCAGTAAGCTCATTAACTCTCCCCGCAGTAGTTTTGCTTCTTCTATCGTGTTGGCTCCTGTTAACACATCATCCACGTAATAGTCACTGAGAGTTACTGACGCCGCCTTTGGGTAGTTATGTGCTTCATCTCTGGCCAATTGTTGCAGCGTTCTTACCGCCAAATATGGTGCTGATGCTGTCCCATATGGGACCGTTGTAAGCTGGTATTCCCTGATTTGTTCTTGCGGTGCGAACCTCCAAAGAACCGTGTGATACCGATGATCTCTTTTGTCCAGCTTCATCTGCCGATACATTTTTTCTACGTCCGCTGTGATGGCATAGCGATGTTTTCTCCATCTGACTAGTAGACTCCAAAGATCTTGTTGTAGCCTTGGACCTACGTGCATGACTTCATTTAGGCTCTTCCCCTTTGCCGGTCTTGAGGATGCGTCGAAAACAACCCTCAACTTGGTCGTCGCACTGGACTCTTTGATTACTGCTTGATGAGGAATGTAAATTCGTTTCTCCTGTGGTGTGGTGGATTGGTGGCTAATTTCATGTGCCCCAGTTCCAAGTATTCTTGCATGAAGGCTTTGTACTCCTTCTCCAACTTGGTGTTGACAAGGAACTTCTTTTCTAATTGTACTAATCTTGCAACCGCCACTGGCCTGGCACTTTCCAATACCGACGGTTCCTCTTTGAACGGTATTCTTACTGTGTAAGTTCCATCAGTGTTTCTTACGGTGGTTTCCTGGTAGTGCTGTTCACACTCTGTATCTTGTTTGGACGGCCCTGCTGGGCCTGGTCTTTCTTCTAGCTCCCAGAACCTTTCTAACTGTGTGTTCTTTGTTGCTCGCGACACCATGCTGATTAATGTCACATTATGTCCCTTTGGGGTGTGTATCTGCCCTGACAGGATCCATCCCAATTCTGAGTTCTGGGCCAAGCAGCTGTCTTCTTTCCTTATGCCATCCATTATGATGTTGGCGTAATCTTCTGCCCCCAGAAGAATGTCTATGGGACCTGGTTTGTTGAGAGTGGGGTCAGCCAGCAGTTGGTTTCTCCATCGATCGGTGTTGAACTCGAAAGACTTGCTCGGAAGCTCCCCTGTGATCCTCTTCAAAATTACTACGTCCGTTGCTAATGTGAACGTGCTTGAATGACGTGGTCGTAGCTGGATAGTGATCTTGGATGTTGCCTTCGTTGGTTCTGACCTCCCTAAGCCGCTAATTTCTGCCCGTACTGCCTGCCTGGGTAGCTTTAGCACTTGTGCTGCCTGCTCGGTTATAAAGGATGCCTGAGACCCTGGATCCACCAATGCTCGTAGTACGTGGAGTTCGCCCATAACGTCTTCCACTCTTACTAGTGCGGTTGCCAACAAGACTTCATTCTTCCCTGCGATTCCGGTCTTCACCTCTTTAGCTGTTGACGCATGTACTGCTGGCTTCTGGACTGCGGACTTCTCGTAATCTTGATGTAGTATTGTATGATGTGGATATTGGCATGTTGCACAGCGTCGAAACGATCTGCATTTGCTGTTGCAATTGTGATTCATGCAGTTCACACACAACTGCCTCTCCTTCACGAATCCCAGTCTATTTGCTGGTGACAACTCTTTGAACTTATTGCAGTCACCTAGTTTGTGCTGTTGTTTGCAGTACGCACACCCTTGCTGACGATTGTTCTGCCATCTTTGGTGTCCTTGGATTGACCCATGTTGAACTTTCCGGGCCTGGGACAGTACTTCTAATGATTGGAATCTCATCTTAAGGAATTCCATCAGCTCCTGTAGGGATGGTGTTTTGTTTGGCGTTTTTAGGGACTGCTCGAATAGTTTATTTGACTCTGCATCCCATGTTCGTGCTATGATTCGCGCTACTATTGGACCCCAAGCTATGGTTTCTATCCCTTGATTGCTGATCGCTTTCAGACACTCGTGGGTGGTGTCATGTAATCTCCTAATGGCGTCTGCCGACTCTTGCTCAATTTTGGGAAAATCTAAAATTTTATCGATTAATTTCCCTACTATTAGCCTTTCGTTGTTGTATCGATTTTTGAGAATGCTCCACGCTGTATCGTAGTTGCATTCTGCTATTTGGAGGTGCTGGATTAACCTTGATGCTTCCCCCGTGACGTGACTCTTCAGATACTGCATCTTCTCCGTAGCTGATACCGTTTTGCTGGCGTGTATTACTTTTTCGAATATATCCTGAAACGTTACCCAATGCTCGTATCCACCGCTAAAAACGGGTAGCTTCATCTCAGGTAACTTGATGTTGCATTTCTTTTCTTCGTGACTGACGGTTTTTAATTTAATGCCGATTGCCAGATTTGTTTTTTCGTACCACTCTCGCATCTTTTCGAACTCGTGTTCTACGTCGGCGATATCCTGAAACTGGGTTTCGTGTACCTGTATATCTTCTTGTAGACTTCTTATATCCTTCCATTGACTTCCGCATGATTCCTGCCATAAGTTGAGTTGAACGCCGCTGGTCTCCAGGTGTAACTTCTCCTCTATCTGTTGAAGTGACGTTGTTAAATGGTGCATCTTGATTTGTTGCCTCTTTAACCGCCGTGTCTGTTCGTCGCACACCCCTTCTTGTTTGGATGTTGTTAGACTTTTTTCCAGATTTTCTAGGTATCCTTTAATGTGATTGTATGTACATCTTACCTAGCTGTTCCCAGTACTTCGATGCGTGGTAGTCATGCTGCTCTTCTTGCAGCTTCACTATTTCCTGGTGGGTATTGGTTGCTTCCCGCCACCATTTTTCTAATGTTGATTGGCGTTCCTTTATGTACGCCTGCGTCTTCCGAGATGACGAATCTTTTTTCATATTTGCGAGCATTTTCTCCATAGCTTTGCCAATCTCACCCTGATTGGCCGCTAATCTGTTCATCTCTTCCATTTTGGCTCCGGGTTTATTCTTTCCGGACACTCTGCTGTAGGATTTTTTCCTCTCACAGTTTATTCGATTGTGATGGTGTGGCTCCTTTCACAATCAGTTTTTCTTTCTCGACGTTCGCATGAACGTGCGTTATCTAAAACCATATAAATCTCTTACCCGCTGTTTCCTTTTTGTTACTTATTTGCTATAAGGGTCGTAAATCCTTATAATTTGGGGTAGATTTCCGTGGTACTTCTTATCGGCGACGCCGCTCCTTCTTTGTGGGCCTCGCAGACTTCTTGATAAATTTTTCTTACCCGCTGCACCGCTTTCTTCTTTGGGTCTCACAGGTTTCTTGATTTTATGTTGTATGTTGACAGCTTCAATGGGTGTTCAGCTTCAATGGACGTTGACTCCGCTAAATTTGCCGGCTTCGAAGATCTTCAATAGCTGGCTCCGTTGTTGGCTCGAAGGACCATATTTAATCTCGGTATGAGATTAAATAGTTTTGGGGTAGATTGTAAGGCGGCACCCGTCACTGTGCCAAATTGTAGACTTGGAACCTTACACCCCAAATGAGTACAAACAGCCTAAGCTATAATACTGGTTTATTCATAATATTTACACGTTTATATACAAAATTGTTGTCCTAGTTCTACCATTTGTTTACCTAGCTCAGCGATACTATTATTCTATTATTTGCATTTTCATGCCTTACTCAATTGACCTGCTTTATCTATGCATAATAATGATGTCTTAATACCTACTTATTACATGAATTACTTAATATTGTTTAATTCTAGATTAATCCCAGATTAATCTGTGATTGAACACCTTCAATGATAACAACATTACCCAATACCGATTCAATCCCCCTCGATTTGGAGCACCCAGTGTCTACATCGCAACGTTGAAGTCTATTGTGTCGGTAATGCATTTGAAATGAACCACATAACTAAAGATATGAATTTTACATAGACAAACGACTTGTACTGTGTTTTCATTGGCCCCTTGATGACCTTGAAAATAGATTAATATCGCAAACATGAGTTAATTGAGCTTTGATAACCTTGAGAATGAAATATGACACTCCAAAAATTTGTTAATTGACTTTTGGTGACCTTGAAAATTGAATGACAACTCACCAATGAGGTCATTGATCTCTGATGGCCTTGAAAATAAAACTAACACTGAAATAATTGGGGACATGGACCTTTAATGAAAGTAGGAGATGACACCACAACGTGGTCATTTTACTTTGATAACCTCATAAATTACCTTTACCTCTGATAGCCTTGAAAATGGAAAATAACACCGCAAGAAGGACGTCATTAAACTTTCATAGCCTTGGCGTGAAACATGTTGCCATAAAGAATGATGTTGTTGTCCTCTTATGACCTTTAAGTGGAATATCACATCGTAAAATATAGGGCCCATTGAAAACGAAATCTGACACCATAGAAAAATGGACCATTGACGCTTGATGACCTTCATGATAAAATGTGACACCGAAAAAATGAGGATGATTGAACTTTTAAAACTTTTAAAGCAAAATATGACATCAGAAAATGAGGTGCTTGACCTTGAGAGACGAGGTTTTTTGGACCTACCTAAGGTCAACACCAGAACAGTGCTTGGGGTAATGGGTGAGTGCTCTTGAGCCTCACCTTTCCAAGGCTAACGCCACGTTTGAACTTTACCTTGACCTTTGTCCAAGGGCACCTCTAAGCGGTGAGCGACTTTGAACGGTCCAGGTACGGCTCTGTATCGCTACTCTTCTTGTGGTAGGTAAACGACTTTAAGGGAGCGTGTCGATACATATGTTCTACTCTGGTCATTCTTTTTTATTTACACATTGATTATTATTATATTATTGTTCGTTTTTTTTCTACTGTAAGGAAAAACACCGACGATTAGATTCTTATAGGTTCTTCTTTTTGGATTTTGGAAATTGTATATTATTATTCAGTGAATTGAAGAAGCTGTCCCGAGTGCCAGCTTTAATCCCTACGGTAGCGTTCAAGGGATTTCACCACGATTATCCCGAAACGTACCATTAGCCGAGCCTTTAGCACCACATTAAAAAGATTTGGAACCATATTCACCAATACGTAGCAGATAAAATCGCAAACCAAAATAGGGCAGTGGGCAAGTGAACACTAATAGAGGCGAACAGATACATCTCCTCATCTCTTCGAACTAAAAACACAATTCATAATTTTTTAAGGGTGGTTTAAAACCGATACAGGTCCGGGTGGACAGCAGCAGCGTATTTCCTCTTAAAAATACATTGGAATCACAAAGAGAATAAATCAAAGGCATCAAATAGGCTCTTATAAAAAATAGCTATGTTATTGTAGGTCAAACCGACTATGTAGTTCAGTGGTAGAGCGTTGGGATACACAGTACATAGGCAGGGGTCGATTGTTCGAACCTGGGCTGAGGTAAGAATTTTTCATCTGTGACACTGTCAGAGTTGGGAATTTCCTTAGATCAGTTTCAAGCACTCTGACGGCTACTTAGAATTAGGTTTTCCTGCGGGGGGGGTGTTAGTAGAATAGAGCATCTCTAAAAAGCATTATGCCGCCCACCCTGTAATTGGGCGCAAGCCTGTTGAGAGCCCAGAACAAGAGCATAATAAATAAATAAATAAATAAATAAATAAATAAATAAATAAATAAATAAGTAAATAATTAAGTAACAAACGAATAAATAATATACATGCCCGTAATTTTAGCATTTCACAATTTTCATCGTCCAGGCCAATAATAACAGGATCTGTATTTTTTTAAAACTTATACCAAATTCTTTACTCTCGTGATAGTAGATCCATTTAAATAACAAATTTTATCAGGGTCATCATTCCATATGTGCACGACCATTTAATGGACGCCAGCTATAAAGAAAGAGATGCACCTAAAAACCAAGGATCTGTAACGTTTGCAGTTCTTTTTGGGTGGTAGAAGACACTTTTTCCAACTAAACCGAAGGTTCAACGTGTTTCGTTTGGGAGCCACCCTAAAAAAAGTTGTGAAATTTTCATTCTTCTTTAATTTTTTCACAGCAACCGTAAGAGTTACAAAGGACTAGTGGTACGTCTTGGGATAGGTTTTCATGTATATATTTTTTTATTCGGCATTAATTTACCTTTATTTGAGGTGCCCATATACAAAACTACATTTAAGTATAATATAGTACAGATTGTGTTATATATGATTTAAGTATTTTAGCAAATAAAAAAATTAGATGGGTAAATGCAAAAGTAATTGTGCACACGGGCAGACAGACGGACAGGCAGACGAACAGACAGACAGACAGCAATACAAAATTATAAACGATTTTGAGGATCGTTCATAAACGGCAAAAGTGTAAAATTATTTATAAGTAAGTAGTACATGAAAAAAATATTTGTTACCATAACTTTTTTTCGTAAGCGGAACAGAACAGATGAACCGATAAAGTGGACACAATATGTGAAAATGCGCTATAAAATGGTACATATTGCGACTGTTTTTGGATAAGCTCGTAATCAATATCTGAAGGGTATTTACGGTATTCACCAACACCTTCGATTTTTTCTTCGCGAGTATTTCTTATGCAATCGAGTCCATCAGACTACGCGATGCAGGAATAACACGATAGTACGAATATAATGCCGAAAACTCGAATGTTTTACGATATTCCATTCCCGAATTTTTCTCGACGTTTTATTTCAGAACTTTTTTCGCATTGATTTTTCCCGAAATTTGTTTCATAAATAATCAAGAATTTTTACGTAAAGCAGGGGGAGTCTGCGTAAATTTAATCTCCACCTCCCATATATTTTCCAAATCAAATTTTTTGGTGCAGCTCTCTAACACTTATCAAGAACGCTAGAACTCTATGAGTACTTCCAGAACTCTAATTACAACTGCTAAATTTCTTTTGTAACTAGAGTTCCAGAGGTCCAAAGTCCAAATGAAATTCTTATGATGTAGGAAGTATCTACTTATTAACGAGCTGCTAAAGCAAGTTGATGACTTTTTGGACTATTTGTATGCCCAGACTGCCCATCCGTCCGCATGTACTTGTACATGATAACTCGCGAACGGTTTCGAATTTTCCAATTATATTTTCGGGACCATCACCCAAGGAAGAACTGCTTCAATTTTCAGTGACTTTGTATAAGTTTTAAGATACTATAATCATACAGCATAGTGTAATGCAGATTAAACCGTGTTAGTGCATATGAATAGATCGTGTTGACACGCAAGGATGACCTATTACCCTAATAAATGGGTAACTCTGTATCTAATAGCTCATGAAACGCTTCAGTAATCACACATTACGCAGTTACCGATGCGTATCAAAACATAAACTTGATCCATTACCAAATGGCAAGATCAAGGAATTTCATGCTTGAATTGATATACGTATTTACAATTGTAGTAATATCCTGTCTTAGGATGGTTGCAATTTTTTACGTGGAAGTTCAGTGTTAAATGACGCAATTGGAATGCGCACTCACGTGAGGTAGGTATTAAAATTTTGGGTCTTACAGAAATTACAATTGCGGAGATTTCATAATAGGAAAGTAAAATGTACAAACATAAGAAAATAAAAGAAGAAACCAGTACTGATATGTTGAACTCGTTTTAATTTCGATCGAAATTTTTGCTATTTAATGTAACTTGAGGTGATAACTTTTAATTTGCCAGTAATGTATGTAAATGTCCCGACTAGTTGCAACAAGTGCTACAGGCTCAAGGAAATTAAGTCGGCCTATTCGAGGGGTGTAGCGCAATTCGTTACAGGCGTAAAATTTTGAATTTAAGAACAATTAATATCTATCAATTTTTCTGATATCAACACTCTCCTACCTTATAACGTTACCTTTCTCTGTAATTAAACGCGAGTAATGTGGACCAATTAAATGTTTTCTTGATTTACCATTCAGTGAAAGTCAGTTTAAAAATGACAATGAAACTGGTCCGATGTAGTGGACACCGACTATCAGATCTGGACCAAAAGTCCTACTATAAAAGCAATAAGTTGTCATAATCGCGCCAGTAGTTCAATTTATTTGCGACGTATTGGTCGCATTTAAGTACAAAATGACAATGATCTGGGTAAGTTTCAAATATTCTATGCGGTGTAGGTACCCTAAGTGAAGTGTACAGTTTTAGTGCTTAAAAGTGGAATTCAGAGACTTTTTTTGTACTTGTTAAAATTTTGCATGAATTAATTTCCACATATTCTGGTCTTTATTGCGTGTTCTGATTTCTACTTCCGCTTTTAATTTTACTGGTTACACACGCAAGCCAAACTGGTAAATACCATTTGACTTTGACACCCTGTTTCTTTTCAGTTAAACATTTTTGCTGTGATCGTGGCAGCATCTGCTTTAGAAGATCCTGACCTGATTAGAAATTGCGGGGATGCTCGTGCGCTTGCATTGGGAATACCGGCATCGGGACATTCCGAGGGAATTGTATATGCAGCCCCCAAAGCAGCCCCATTAGTAGCAACGTACTCTAGCCCGCTCTACGCCTCTTACTCGGGCCATTCTAACGCGTATGCTTCGGGAGGATCTCATTATTCCGGGGGAAATTCTTATGCTTATACATCAGCCGTGCCCGTTGTGAAGAAGGTGGTTGCCGCACCAGCAATTGCAACTTATAGCGCACCAGTTTCTTACGCATTAGATGCTTCTCATTCCGGAGCTCATGGTGGCTATGACGCCGCATCTTCTTATTCATCCCAGATTTCTCACGACGCCCATTCTGGATATGCCAGTCATGGCTCTTATGGTGGTGCGTCGTTAAATTATGCAGTCCCACTTGTAAGTAAAGTTGCGGTAGCCCCCGCCCCGGTAGTAAAGTACGCTACCCCTGTTGCTAAAACGGTCGTTACGGACTACGTTAGCTCAGGATTGTCACATGATTCTCACGCTGATAGTTACAATAGTTTGTATTCTTCTCATCTTTTTGCCGCTCCAGCTGTGAAGGTTGCTGCACCAGTTGTGACTGTAACTGCTGCACCGATTGCTAAAACTGTAGTAGCTGACTACAGCAGTTCGGGAGCTTCACATGCTGGTTCCTACAATAATTTATATTCTTCTCATGTTGTAGCAGCGCCGGCTGTTAAAGTTGCAGCACCAGTGATTGCAAGTCATTATGCGGCGCCAATTGCGAAAACCGTAGTTACAGACTACGTTAATTCGGGAGCTTCACATGCTGGATCCTACAACAATTTATATTCTTCCCATGTTGTAGCAGCTCCGGCTGTTAAAGTTGCAGCACCAGTCATATCTGTAACTGCTGCCCCAGTAATAGCAAGCCATTACGCGGCGCCAATTGCTAAAACCATAGTTACAGACTATGCCAGCTCGGGATTAACGCATGCTTCTCATGCTAGTGCATACAATAATTTATATTCTTCTCATCTTGTGGCAGCTCCGGCTGTTAAAGTTGCGGCACCAGTAGTAGCAAGCCATTATGCCGCGCCTATCGCCAAAGCCGTAGTTACAAACTACGGAAGTTCGGAATTATCCCATGCTTCCCATGCTGGTGGTTACAGTAACTTATATTCGTCCCATCTTGTGTCCGCCCCAGCTGTTAAAGTTGCCGCACCAGTAGTAGCAGTAACTGCTGCGCCAGTATATGCAAAATTGGGTCATTCTTCGGCGTCTAGTTATCAATCATCTCATGCAGGCCATGGTGCCCTTAGTGCCTACAGCGCTCCCGCTGTTGGGCTCTCCGTAGGCCATGCACCGGTAGTTGCGGTCCCGCATACACCATCAATAAGGTATGGTGCCGCTCCTGCTGGTTACATAACGTCTGCTCCAGTTGCAGTCAAGCCCATTACTGTCAAACAGGACGGGTACTATGTAAGTATGAACCAATTACGTAAAAAATTATGACATTACATGCGATCGGTGTACGTTTTCGATTACATTCTCATGTAATTTTTTACGTACCACGTAATTTCGAACAACAATTTAAATATTAATTGAATCGAAATGCTTGTAATACCCACCAATATTCCCATCTCACCGAGAAAGTAGAACTTTAACGAGTTATATGATTTCGTCTAATTGATACTGTCAAAAACGAGATGTGAAAATAAGGAAGTGCGTTATGAACCTGTTTGCTTACATTTTTTCTCCAAATCCAATTTTGTGTACCTTAAATAATTAATCGACGCGATTATGAGATAATGCCACGAATAGTTTGCATATTCATGTCTTGTTCCAATTATACCATGAATGATGATTCTCAATAAGCCGCTATTGAAAGAAAGCAAGTTTACTACCGATTGAAATGGAAAGGCACTAATGGGCAATTTTCTTTCTTGATGGGAAAGTGATCGAAATAGAATCTCAACAAAAAAAGATCCATCACACTTTTTCATTTGCCACACGGACATTCTTGAGAGTTACGCAATTAACGCAAATTGTATCACACCTAATATTGTAATGGATAAGTAGAAAGCGCGATAGTGATTTAATTTCATCAACAGCTAACGAAATATAATTTGCAGGACGCTCATCCACGGTATGCCTTTGAGTATGGAGTAAACGATCCCCACACCGGCGATATCAAAGAGCAAAAGGAAGAACGGGATGGAGATGTTGTCAAAGGACATTATGCGTTAGTTGAACCCGATGGTAACGTTCGCACCGTTCAATACACAGCCGATTGGCAGACAGGTTTCCACGCACAAGTAACAAACTCCAAACAGCAAGTACACGCTCATTAGGAAGATGAATTGACTGTCACCACGTTATTTATGTTACCGCAGATTAGCATTACGTTACCGTGCACCGTTGTTTTAATCATATTGTCATCTCATTCCTAGTCTAATACCATATGGGCCCCAATGATAACGGTGGTCATCTCACAAAATTATTTAACCATGTACCCTTTAAGAATGCTATGTAAATATTTGATACTAGGCGATAAGGATCTTGTATTAATAAATGGTTTTTTTATTATCTTTCTTTGTTATCTTCTGTCGAACAAACGACTAATGCTAAAAAAAGGCGCGACTCAGACATACAATAATTGATTTTCTAACAGACACGAACTTGGAATATTTGGAGACACATACAAATGCTACACCACGAAATCGTAATATTTTGAAAGTATTTGCACGAAGGTTAAATGGAGTAACTAACTTCTGAACTAAAGCTGTACCAAAATAAAAAGAATTATTGTTTGCCATTGGTTAGCTTATTCTTTACTTACTTACTGTAGAGTTGTTTTCTCATTGGTTCTCTTTGTTTTTATTAATTCTTAGGCCACACTCTGTTTTTCTGATTTGGTCTATCCTTACTAACAATATCTTAAACTCTTTTTACTTTCAGCATACGCAATCATGCCATGCCATATAAATTAAACAAAGTTGGTAAGTAGCATTCCTCTCTAACTCCTATTCCGATACCAAACCAATCCGTCTTGATTTTTGCCTTTTGTTTGATATATGTTTTGTATTAGTCGTCTCTCTCCAGTTCTCACCTTTCCTCTTTAGTATTTTTAACAGTTTCTCCCAGTTTACCCAATCGAGCCTTTATAAAGTCCACGCAAGCTAAATTTCCTCGTTCGTGGAATGGGATATTCTTAGCATTTAAATACACCTGGATGGATATGGTACAGATGTTACAAATCTTACAGATGTTACAGATGCCACAGATGTTACAGATGTTACAGACGTTGCAGACGTTACAGATGTTACAGATGTATTCTTCAAGAAAAGTACATTTGGCGATTCGACGATATTGAATTCTTCTGGTAATGGGTATTACCTCAAGTGGGAATCTTTTTCTGTGGAAATTTATGTCGAAGGATGTGCTCTGCGTACCTACAGAGAATTACTGTTTAATATAAATGGAAGAGATCTACAGCAAGCAATTGCACCAATTTACGGTTATCATTAGGTCTCTCACTCTCTCAATAAGATCTATTGAACTGAGTTTATTGTTGAAAATACTAACAGTTGTAGTTGTAACTTCATTACTCGATAGAGTTTAGTTAATTTGTACCGAATCCCACGCAGTTTTTTTTATTATGTAATGGAGAATGTGTTCGATCAGCATTTTACTTTCACTTTTCCCCAACCACCCTTATGATTCGAAACGTTTAGAAATAGGGTAACTCATTTAAAAATGTTTCACACGGAAAAATCTAAACTCCCATTTTCTTAAAATCGTGCGATCTCTCTTTGATGGCTGAAAGATCGCATTTGTGTGTTAATTCTAACTGTGAATGATCCCCTCTTTTAAATACCGAGTGAATTTCTATACCCAAAATAGTGAATTAACTTAAGAATGGCGATGTCTAAATTTTCTGTTGGTTAGTGCTCTGTTTTCAACCAATCACAGTTGCTTTTCAAAACCCACGTATAAAAAAAGTCTATACTCTATAACATGGTTTCCATGCGTACTTGTTACCTGGATGCAACGTAAGGAGTGTAATACTAGACCCTTGCTAAAGCGGATGTAACCCTATATAAACCAAACTTTCTGGCGTGGATCAGTCCAATAATAAAAAAATCCATTGAAAAACACACGCCAAAACGTTTGTTCATGTCTCGACTCCAATCGATCAAACAAATTTTTTCATTACAACTGAAAACTACAATCGTACTTATTTATGCAAAAAATCAAATCCAACCAGACTGATGCGTGAGATGGTACCTGAATATGTTTCAATTGCCGTGTATATAGAAATTGCAGTACCTTTAAGGTAGGTACACCTTCAGGTGCGCCTGTCTATTCTACCTGTCGCAGGTCACTTTGTCAAGTCGACCTAGGACTATGGATCAGCAAAAACTGTCCGTTTTCATAACTTCCAAGTGACCTGAAGCCGCTTACCGGGAAAGTCGAAGGTCGCAAGTGCACCTGCCCGTTGTATGTTTAGACACCTACCTCACCCCACCCTTCGACTCGTGGGTGTGTATAAATTCCTGGATCGATGGGTCAGTGGCCCACGGTAGTTGCTCCGTGCTCAAACATTTTTAACCAACTGAGATGGGCGGTGGACCTGTAGGATGTAGGCGTGGATTAAAAGGTGCTTAAGTATATTTTTAATTTTTTAATATAAATTTAAACGAACTTAGACGGGAACGTGATTTTGCGGGGTAGATTGAGATATGCGCACGCATTCATTCATTCGCTCGGACAGACTTGTGAAGTACGCAATGAGTGCTTGGTATATTGTGATGTGACGTCTCACTAGTTGAATTCAGTGGAAAAGGTGCCAAATATCGTTCCAAAAATGATTTTCCATACACACCAACAACAATGGTGGATTTACACAATCATAATCACTAGTTCACTCAGCTCAGGATGGTTTCGGTGGTTAGCAACCTTTGTTCCTATTGGCTGTTTCTTAATTAATTTTGATAGTGAAGTAAAAAACGAGATCTCAGCACTAGAAATTGGTAGATAGCACGTTAACCACTCGTTTGAGAGTTATGTAGATGTATGTTGCCCGTAACAAAAAAAAATGTTAGGTAATACCTCAGGGTCGTGTCAAGAATGAAACAATGTCCTCATATATTGATCAATTTTGTAAGATAAAACGCAATGTAGCCCAAAGTAAACATTTTTTTTTTGTGGAAACCTCTCAAATTACGGTGTATCGATAAATATGCCTTAGTATCGTTACTAAAGCTTCCTAAATTTGAATCTTGCTCCGATTAACACTCAAATATCTCGAAAACCGTTAACTTAAGACCTTATTTAATTTTAAAAGGCACTATTCGCACAGTTTTGGGCAGCTCTTGGCCACTGTCCCTAAAAATAATAATTTCAGTGCAATTTCTGAACTACAGCTACAGAGGGTAAATATACGCCACCTTATTTAATACAAAAACAAACAATGCACTGTGTTTTGAAGCGGGTTCTACTTTTTTCGGGTAGCATTTGTGCTATGGTAACTCCGGTCTATATTCTACCAATGGTAACTTGTGTTTCGGTAGCTTTAACAACGCAAGCAGAATAAACATGTGGCAAATCATTATTGAAACAAACATTTTGACTTTTAGAGAAGAAATAATTTTGAAAATAAATATAATCGAGTAGAGAAATATTTATGGTACTAATATTTATCATAATTGATAATACTAAAAAATCAGAATGTGAGTATAATGTACAAGGAAAATATGTAAACAACATAATATTAATGTAATTTTTTTTTTTTTTTTTTTTTTTTTTTTTTTTTTTTAAGGAACAAATTGTTTAATGAAAATAATAGAACAAGAACAAATTACATATAAGAACGGGGTTTTAAAACATAATAAATTTCATGAAAAGAATTACTAAAAAAAGGTAAAGTTCCTAAAACTATAAGCAATAGACACATTAATAAGCACGTGCAATAAATTCAATTGTACTTGCGTATCAACAAATTACAAAAAACCTCCTAAACCTCCTTGAACCTCAGCGCAAAGCGCAAACTACCCTTCACCTGTACTTCTTTTAAAAAGTGCGAAAACATTCCGTTTATCTGTTTTGGGATTCATGATTTATGCATATAGGTATGCTAAAAACAACTTCTCAAAAAATTGCTAAAACTGCTATTCTGATTTGGAAAACTCGGTACAGGGTGTTTAAATAAAATAAATAAAAAGAAACGTACTCGCAAACTAGTTTTTTAAGTTATTCTTCTGGAACTTAACGTTGATGCAAGTAGAAGAAGGCGAGAAGAGTCGATGGCCCTCTTGGAGTGACTTTACTTGTTTAATGAAACGAATCAAAATACTTTAGTATGCGAATGCACGAAACTGGAATGTGTTATGTCACAAATGAAACTACTAACCCAGTTTTGAGGCTGCTCACAAAACTGCCATTTGCAACCAAACGCAACCAATACACCGATAAGTCATCTAATTAGTGAGAATGATTCAATTAGTACAAACGATTTATTGCACACACTAGGCGGATACCTACCACTTCGACCTACCGCCTCAAATCACTTTAAAAAATACTTTATTACACCACTCCTTCTTGCGTAAGTCGTAATAAAAAATAAGTCTGTAACCTTCACCACACATACATCTCTTTAGCCTAATATGTGCATACGATTAAATAACGTTAAATATACCGCCTTCCATTAAATTCGTTCGATGTGTAGGTAATATCTAGATCACTTTCTAGCCTCTATTACGTATTTATTAGTGTGGTATGTTATAATTTACTTTCACTGAATTATATTTTGCATTCCTTCGAAGGCGTCCACTTTTTTGTTATTATTTACTTGCCCATTCGAGGCAATTCATTACATCGGAAAACAATTTTTCTACCCATACCTTTGCTTATTTATGGCGGAATTATTAATTAGCGTTTTAGAAATTGAATTAATTAGCAACGTATTGTAAGGAGATATTCCAAATGTATAGTTTTCGACGTCGCATGCACTAATGCCACTAATTGAAATGGATTTGAACTTGCGAGATATAAATTACAATTACCTCAACTCCATTGCATGGGCAGGTAAACGGGAGCAAGGATAATGTTTAAGGGGTCTATTATTGGAGTCGATCAAAGTTATTACTAATCAAAGGTTAATTCTCACATTTACGTCCTGGTTAATTTGCTTGATCAAGGCAACTCAATTTGGATTTATACGATTCTTTTCACACTTTCGGTTTTAATAAATAACAATCAATCTGTTCTCATTTTTCTACCTGGCACTTCATCTATTTCGTTCTTCGGTTTTTGATTAACCTTCCTTAATTGCGTGCTTCTGTTTTCATTCATATTTATGTGCCATTTTTCCTTACTTTTCTATTTTAAGGTTTCCTAGGCTGGGTTCTTATATTATTTCTTTTCTATTTTATTTACTATCCTATACAGTGCCATGCTAATATTGCGTAAACAGATAACACTGCACTACGTGTGTATATTCGGGATGAGTAAATGAAGCGGGTATTGTAATAAGAGCAATGAGAACGAGTTAAAAAGTCTATTCTAACCTATACAATTCATCGCAGTAAGATAAAGCGTTTATGATGTTGACAGATACAACGGCCAACGTATAAATATGAATGTAAATAGTGGGAAAGAAACAATCACTGAGCGACTGTGCGCAGTGCCAAATCTTCGCTAGACGTTTTCGCAGAGCGCGTTGTGCTCTAAGAGCGAACCATAATATCTATCGAACCACTGTCACGCTGAGGACGACGATTTTCTCAAAATTTCCAAGAAAGTTGAAAATATACATGGCATAACTCGCTGTGGATTCTATAGCCGGTCCGTGCAGAGAACAGGTGCGCCAGTACTGCGGGAATAGTTCTGCAATAATTCCATGATCATCCATCATACGCTCACTACCAAACTTTACGTTTTTCTACTGCTTCGACGGCTGCACTTTCCTCGCCGCTTTTGTGACGTCACTCACCGTATTTTAACGGCTGTTAAAAAACGGCACCGTTTTTGAGGAAACCCCAATTGTTGATTAGACCGGCACTTAAAAGTACAGGAATAATTAAGAATGGGTGTAAATCAATGTCATGTCATACAAATTATTTGTTTCGTACAGTCTTAGATAGCTTTATATAATCGTATGTTGGCAATAATGGGTTTGCCTCGGTTACATATAAAATAAAATTTATTTTGTGAAAAAGTACATATTTCCATAACCGAAAAAACTAAAATAATTTAAAAACCGCGAAATTAGGGGCGGTGCATGGGTGGTACATTGCTTGCGGGAGAGAAAGCAAACGTTCCATTTTCCAGAAAGGTTGCCTGCACAGAGCCAGGTAGATAGAAAACGTATTAGTGAGCGTATGGAGTACCGTTCAGCTCCGTATAATTTTTAACAATTACACCGCATTTAAAGCATTATTTTTAACACAAACAATCTGAAGAAGATACAGTTAACAGAAAATATAGTAATTCAAATAAATTCAGAGGCCTGTTGTAACGATTTATTTTCTTTATTAGAAGCATTATTATTGTTCCCGGTATATTTACTTGCTGAATGATCCTCGTAACAGCTGTAACCTTGGAATTTTAAACACGCAATTTCCAGCGCGAAATTTTTACGGTGCTGCGGTTTGTCGTTATCTAAAGTCACTAGATATAGAAAGTACCGCAATCATCCGCCATTTTTGGGCAAATTTGCTGCCAACTTAAAAAAATTGAAAATAAAATCTGAATAGCTGTCATTTTTTATAACCTAACTTCATAGTACTGTCATGTTTTATAAAAATATATACAGATATCTCCAAACAGGTGGAACAATCCCTAACATTAAAGTTACTAGAATCTGGTAACTTCCACCATTTTTGGGCAAAAATCATGCGTTCTCTCTCTAACTCACGGGCCCAATGGATTGCGGTACTTTCTATATTTAGTGACTTTATCGTTATCGATTGTTCATCTTCCTCTTTCGTTCGTCAGCTGTGACAGAGTGCACTTGATTTTTAATCAAACAGCAAAACGCATGGGATTTTAATTGACGCCACCCATATGTATTTATATTTGGCGGTTACATTTGGTTAATTGGGGATTACGCATTAATTTGTGAAAGTAATTTCACCCCTTCACACTAATAGGAGGATATTGTTGCGTTATTCTTCTTCATTGTAAGTACGCCACTTGTATTTAATCGGCTTGACGAATATCTGCTTTAGGTTCCCGCTGATAATTAATACGATTTTCTCTCTCGTTTGAATCGTAATAACTGTGTAAAGAATCAGTTTGGAGACGTCTTACATAGAAAGTTGGGGTAACCTTGGCTTAAATTTATCATCTACCTGCGAGTACCAACACCTGTGGACATATCCACATCTGATAAGAAGCGGCCATTTTGTGAACTGGGTCACCCTGATTATGAGCGCAATTTGATCACAGGATTCGATCAACAACAAGGAGACAACTTCCGTAATCTTTACCGTAGCTATTCAGAACTATTTTTATCACTATCAATTAACTTGTTGTTTTCAGTACGTATTCATTATTTTATGGTGAACTTTTTCACGCGAATGTTATGGTAGCCCGCCACTTCCTTCTGGAGAGATTGATCGAAAAAGTATTGTAGTTGCGAGCTTACTACTAGTAAGGCGAGGCTCTTCAGGAATTGATCAGTTCATTGCATTCCAAGCTCTGCGGATTGGGAGTTTTCTTTTGTTGCAGATTTTATGAATCCGGGAATTGAGCTCACTTCTCTGGATAACATCTTAACATCTTAATCATGGTAAGCGTTTCCTTTTTATGTTTTGCTGGTATTTGGCCTATACGTACGCATTTGTGTTCGGATCAATTTTTGTGGGAACTTGGTTGTAAGATCAAATAGTAATTAATTTAATCGATAATTCTTGATTGGAGTTTTGTAAAACTGGTATATTTCAATTTTAAAGTCAAGTTACTAATATTTTTGTGTGTGTCGTAACGTAACTTTGGCTTGTGTTTTATTTATTCCCTCGTATCTTCCCAATTTCATACGGGGAGGGGTAAGCTTGAAATTGAGTGGCGTTCAACCTTGGTAAGTGCAACGAAGATTCGGAAGATAATTTTACTTTATAACGAACTAGGATTTTCAGAATCTTATTTTGTGTTTTGCCCTGAGCTAGTTAATGCGGCGGATGCGGCGGGTTTGATAAATTGCAGCGCCAACTCAACTACCCGTTATACTGTGAGGAACGCTCCCCTTCCCCTCTTTGGAAGCTCCACACTTATTGACGTATTTTAATAATTTTGGCAGCAAAAAGTTATCTTTCTCCTCTTAGAAACTTTATTTTTATACACGATTATACCAAGATTTTCAGTATTCATGTTTTCACTCGGGACTTTTCGCTTAAGCGGTTCAACCGTAAAATGGCAGATCAACCGCTGATTACAGACAACGGAAGAACATTAAAAGTGCAAACGTTAACATTAACAATTTATTAGGTACTATGTATACGTTTCAATATAAAACAAAGTATAAAAATGAAAAAAAAATGGATAATAATACAACTTTAAATAAGTCTAGGATCAATAAATCCCCTTAACCAACCGATCACATTGTTTACCAACTTCATTTTTTCTAAAGCAAAAACCATTTGGCTCTTTTCACTCCCAGCTTCCACCAGTTCTTCTTTCTGGCTGCCCCCTTTTTTCTGTCCAGAATTTGTTCTAGCGTAATTGGAAAGCTTGGAATCCGCAAACTTTTTATCGCCTGCCGGTAGCGGTTTCCGTTTCTTGTGCCAGTTACCGGAGTAAAACAGCGTATCGGTTGGGTTTACATCTCGTTTACTGATTGTATGTGATGTTACATCCGAAATCGCCTTCTGGTCATTGCAAGGTTGGCATAATTTCTCAAGATCCATCGAAAGATGATAGGAACCATCAGAATTCTTTTTCAAATTGAACGGCAATTTCATTCCGTCACCAACAAAAATAACTTTGTCACTATTGTTCTCTTCTGGTATCAACTTTGCAACCACTCCATATGGTTTAGAAGAACCTTGATTTACCAAATCTGAAGAACTGGCATCTCCAACAGTTTTTGACGCGTCAACCGGACCACCAGATTCTTCTACTGCAAAGCGCTGTTCCAAAGAAGGATCGCCGACAATCTCACCTTGTTTTTCGAGTCTTTTAATTTCCGCCTCCGAAAGCGGCTCTATTTCTCCCTTTACTTCGACAACACCTGGACTATCTTCCCCTGTTTCTACATTAACAAGTGCGTGATACAATTTGGGCCCAAACTTTCTGTACACTTCTTCAGTGTTAGTGCCAGATGGTTGTTCTACATTAACACGTTCATGATATGATTTTGGTCCAAATTTTCTATTTACTTCGATGGTGGACGGTTGGTAGACCGCTGCTTGATCGTTGTCGATGGAAACATCTTCGTCATTGAATGTCGGCGCCACTCTTTGGTTTGAAATGAATGTTGGCTTGGATTTACGAATGTAAACATCCTCAAATTTGGGGTTTCCATTAAACTTGTCAAATAAAATATCCTTGGCTTCGGCTTCAACGTCACTAACTTTTTGAAAAAGTTTATTCTTTAACCTTTCTGCTTCAATCAGCGGCAATTTCGCCTTTTGAAGGGCAATTTCCGCGAGTTCTCTATCAGATTTTAGTTTTTCGATGGCAATATCTGAAAATGTCGGTTTTGACTTATGAATGTAAACCTCTTCTAATTCGGGGTTTTCATTTAACTTGTCAATTAAAATATCCTTAGATTTGGCATCCACGTCACTAACTTTATGAATCACTTTGTTCTTTAGCTTCTCGGCTTCAATGAATGGCAATTTTGCCATTTCAATTGCGAGTTCTTCATCAGATTTCAGTTTTTCGATGGCAGCATCCTTAAATTTGGTTTCATATGGTTTTCCTACATGGACCCTTTGATTAACGCTAGGTGTCTCGCTCGAAACGAATATCGGTTTTGACTTATGAATGGAAACTTCCTCTAAATTGGGTTTTTCATTTAACTTGTCAAATAGAATGTCCTTAGCTTTGGCATCCGCGTCACTAACTTTGTGAAGCACTTTGTTCTTCAGCTCTTCGGCTTCAATTAATGGCCATTTTGCCATCTGAATGGCGAGTTCTTCATCAGATTTCAGTTTTTCGATGGCAATATCCTCAAATTTGGGTTGATATGGTTTTTCTACGTGGACATCTTGATTAACGCCAGGTGTGTCACTCGAAATTAATATCGGTTTTGACTTAGGAACGGAAACCTCCTCAAACTTGGGTTTTTCATTTAACTTGTCAAATAAAATATCCTTAGCTTTGGCATCCACATCATCAACTTTTTGAATCACCTTGTGCTTCAGTTTTTCTGCTTCAATTATTGGCCATTTTGCCATTTCAATGGCGAGTTCTTCATCAGATTTCAATTTTTCGATGGCAATATTCGTCAACTTGGCATCAGAAGATTTTAATTGATCGCTGGCAATCGGGGGTGATTTTCTAATATCTATTTCTCCATCTTCTTCCAAAATAGGTGGTAACTTGTGGAAACTTTTCCCTTTTTCGATAGTAACACCTTCGGATTCTTTTGGTTTGTCCAAGTGAAAGAATCTCTCTTTCGAGTTTAATGCATCAGTTACAACATCTTTGAATTTTGCGCCTGCATAGTTAACATCCTCCTTAAGTTTATTCTTCAAGTCTTCTGCGATAGCAAGGGGTAGTTTTGATTCTTCCAGAATTTCTCTAAACATCTCATGTTTGAGATTAGGTGCAACTCCTTCAGCAGATTTCTGTTTTTCAACATCTATAAATTTATCCTCGGGAGCTTGCTGAGCCCGTTGAACAGAATGGGGTCGTAATCTCTCCATCGAAACTGGCTGGGTCCTTGATTTTTCGATGTAAATCTCCTTAACCTTACTTACAGGTGAGTATGCTTTCTCGTCTGAGTACGGATTGGATTGAAACCTTTCATTAAAGCTTAGCTGGTCTCTAACTCTTCCGTCCACGTTACTACCATCTTGATTTCTATCCAAACTTTCAACGGAAACTATTTTTGGTCCTGATTTGCCCAGATAAACTTCGTCAGCCTTGGAAACTTGAATTTCACCGTTTCCCATAATTGGTAGATTTTCGGTTAATGTGTCTTGTACCTTTACACTAGAAGGCAGATCCATAATTTTCTTCCCAACTTTGGTTTCTAGATCTTCGGCAAGGGATAATGGAACTTTTGATGTTTCAACGTAGGCATTTTTAATTTTAGAGTCGATAGAGCGCCCGATATCTTCAAGTGCGTCAATTGTTGGCGATTTTGAAATGGAAAGAGATTTAGTGTCGGCGACTTGAACATTCCCATCGGAATCAAGTTCGTCTGTGTAATGGTCCTGCAGTGCAATTCCACCTTCGCCAAGGGCAAAGCCTTTATTGATAAAGATAGCCTTAGATTTAGTTCCGCTGGGTGCTACATTACCAGAATTTAACTGTGCTACGGTGACGTCTTCTCCTGTTGCTAATATTTTTGGCTTATCCACAGAAATGTCTTTATGCGCATCAATCTCTATAACTTTAGTGCCAAATGGCTGTACCTCAGATTTCAATTTAGTGTCAGAAATTTGCTCATGGAGGTTTCCAAATACTTTACTTTCGTGTAAAGGTTGTATCCCTTCATTTACAACTAGGTCTTTGTTAATTGCTCCACCTTGGTTGATCTTCTCTTCATTTCGAAGGCCATCAATAATTAATGATATCTCTTTGTCTTTTGTAAGATATCCTCTAGGTTGTTCATACGTTTTTCCGGCATTTAGGTGGACCTTCTCGTTTGCGACAAGCGAGTGATCACCTGTACCTATTCCGCCATCGTATTCTTTGTCTACACTAACCCCAGCTCCAATCCTAATGTCCTTTGGACCACCAACTTCTTTAACTTTGTCTTCAAACAACAATCCATCATGAATAAGTGCGTCTTTTACTTCTGTAACCTTCTTTTCAAGTTGGGCTAGTGGATTAATGTTTGGTGCATGAATTTCTACCGATTTATGCAGTGCTGCACCGGATTTGCCTATTTCCGCATTAACATTTTCAGCAAAGATTCCCTCTCCTGTAAATCTGGACTCGGGCACAACGTTATCGGAAACGCCTGCTTCAAGGTCCTCACTCAATGTACTACCGACCACTTCGTCTATGTTGTCACTAGTAGCGCCAACGGTTTGGTCCAAGTCTTCCACATTTATAGCCTTGTTATCCGATGTCTGAAGAGCTTTTTGAGTTTCATCGTCGGAATTCTTCACTTTATCTATTATCGGGAGCTCCGGTTTCTTCGCGATAGTAATAGGATGTTCGTCGACGACCTTTTCTATTGAAACAGGTTGACCGCAGGTTTTCCTAATTAATTCCGCGATGTTTTCTACTTTCTCCTCCAAGCCTTGCAAAAAGAATTGGAACTGTCGAGAGCTGGCATCTTCGCTTGACGTTTTCGAGATGGCTTTATCTTCTACACTGCCACTTTTTGTGTCTACCTTAGTGTTCAAAGAATCATCTGGTATGCTACGGGAGTGTAGGTGAGTATTGGACACTTCTTTGTGCTAAAAAATAGTTACTGTAACACCTTTAACCCGTGTACGATACTTACCCAAGCCTTGACGTCATTGATAATCTTGTGAATTTCTTCTCTTGTTAATTTTTCATCATTTAGTAGGATTTTCTTTTTTTCGCTTGCCAATTGCAGTTCTTTCTCAATTTCTCTTTCCAGGACAGAGTGACTGTGCTTTTCAGGCACAATTATCTCTTCATCCTTTTGATATGAAGTATGCAGTAGTTTATTAAGTAACGTTCCTTGCGAGTTGACTTCCAAATTTGTAGTTGCTTCTGGGACTGTAACAATTTCGGTTGTCACGGGTATTGGTGTTGTAGTTGACACAATGTCCAAATCTCTACAAATGATGTTGCAAAATTCGCATTTCCCGCTAATTTTGCAACGCTTTGATTCCCTGCACGATTCGCATCGCTTCCTTCTAGATTCAAGGAATACATCCCTTCTATTGGCAATTTGTGCTCGGCGAGGAGGCTGAACCTCCGTTTCCCTATAACAAATGCAGATTTAGTAAATTGTCATTTGAAATTTGCTCATCAAATGAAATGTAAAAATTGGCCATATCAGAATGATAGACGTTTCTGAACGTGAATGTGAACCGTGAGTGGAAAGTGGAAAACAGACAGTGGCACGGTAGAATTCGAGTTATTTTCTTTGCAAAAGAATTGTAGCTATATTTGCAGAACATGCTGAAGTCACAACAAAAGTGACCAAATTCTTATCCGTTTCGAGGCATGGAAATCGAATTCGAGCGATATTCTTAAAATTAGTTTCACTGAAAACTGTAGGTAAAGCTTACTAAATTAGCAAGCAGTAATTTAGCATACAGTCGAATGGTAAAAGAGGTCAACTATTGGGATAGCATTTAAAAAAGCTACAACGTACTACATGCTAAAACTATTGCCGAGTTCTGCTAGCGCGTTTACTAGTGATTTGCTAGCGTTTGTTTATCAATTTGCTAGCGTTTTGTTTTATTTAACGATCGTAGAGAATGATGGACTTTGATTGAGACCTTTGTGAAAAAGATAAAGACTTTTTAGGTTTTATTGAGCGTAGATTCAATCGACCGCTCGTATTTTGAAATTAGTTGAGTGAGCTTTATCGAAAAAATGTCACGCTTTAACCTAAAATTAACGTCTTCGTGAAAATGTACTTGTACCTAACCAAAAATAGTCATTTTTTCGTTTTTAATGCGCCACCCGGTATACCCAGCGGAGAGATGAGTGGATGATTGTATGCGTGGAAACAAATGCCAATAAGTTTCTGAAAATTTGTGCAAAGAGCCCGTTTCTGTGTAAACATTTGAAGTTTTCGTACGGTTTAAATTGATCCATGCTTTAATTAAAATGTGGTACTAAGAGTATGAGTTGCATTTTGTAAAAGTCCTCATGCGTAACCGTGGGTCCAACGCAATCGTTTTTTTGAAATTTTCATCAAATAAACTGATTTTTAAAATGCTTTGAAATAAAAAGGTATGTGCAATTTGTAGATTTTTTAAGTATAAAGTACCGTTAGGGGTTTAGTGAGTATTGTGGTGAAGTAATTTTTTAATGCATTACATTTTACCAAGAAGTACGAAGAGGGGGAGATGGGAAATTTAGAACCGTTTTTACAAATGATTTGGAAAGGGCATACTCAAAAATCTAAGTAAATAATTCCATCATACTATGCTATGGAATCAAATTATTAAGACCTTCTGCAGAGGCACTCTAAAAAGCATTAATTTATTTTGCCTTTATTTTTGAGTGGGCGGGGTTTCAGCCAAGGCTGCTCTACCAACCCAAATCACTATACATTTATAAATATCCATGCCCGAATCCGGATTCGAACCAGGGACCCTTAGTACCGCAGTTCAACTTCCCTTATGTTGAGTGTCCAGAATAAGAGAGGGACAATAACTTAATAAATAAATAAATAAATAAATAAAAGAGAAGAAGATTTTGCAGAGCTCGAAATACCAACAAAGTATACGTACTTCTGAATATTTTCTACTATCATTTGATTGCACTTAATCACTGGTTGATATGGATAAGCCGTTCGAAGTTAATCTGTTGTCGATACGAAAGGGGCAGTATATGCAAGAAGCGAGAGGTGTCCCTTCCCCTTTAGAGTGTATAAAGCGGTCGATGCTAATCAGCGGGTGATAAAAAAAAGCGTTCGAAGTTAATCGGCAGTTAAATGTAAAATTTTGTATATTTTATTATTTCCGGACGTAGAATAAAAACTACATAAGTTTTATTCCAAAAGTGATTAAATAAATAAATACTACAAATTGCACCTTTGCATCTTTGAAGAAACAAATAATTTTAATTAGGTCTACAATAGTGTTCGAAATACTTTAATATTTGTTATATAATCATACCAATTATTAAAAAAATTGCTTCATACTTAACGAAGATAATCAACCGTTTTGAAGTTTTTACTTACCCTGTATATTTAGTATCTAACAATGGTACGCATACATTATAAATACAAGTACAAGCCTTGTTTTTTGGAAGAGTGGACTAAGAGTTGTGAAAATCGGTGTAGGCAACTCCTCAAAATCTGGTTTTCCAAAAATAATCCGATGTACAAGACAAACCCTACTTGCTGGTTTCATTTTTAGAGTGGAAACTTTTGCAAAAATTAAATTCTGAGAGGACATTTTTCTGTAGCCATTGGCTAATTAGATAATGCTAAACCAAATCTTATCTATGCATTTGACTTTGGTTTTTCGCAAATTTTAGGATGTGTTGCCTATCCATAGAGGCAAACGTTTTTCACATACAATAACGAAAACTGCATTTTTAGCGCATTTCCACAAAAATTGTGACCACTTTGTCCGTCCGTCCGCTCGTTCGTTGAGACGCTACTAGTTCTTTATCTTAAGAGCTATTGTTCTACTTTTTTCGCTATTTGGTTCGTTAGGGTGTCGAGGCTTGCACCAAGGAAGGAATTTTTTCTGCGCTTATTACTAAAAAAAGTTATTGTAAAAAAACCAAAAAACCGTTTTTTACATGCTCCATAATTTTACACTTTTGCCGTTTATTAACGATCCTAGAGATCGTTTATAATTTTGTATTGCTGTCTGTCGTCTGTCTGTTGGTCTGTCCGTCTGTTCCTTTGTCTGTCTGTCTCTCTATCTGTCCGTGTGAACGATAATTTTGTTTAGAAATGTCCGATCGCTTTTAGATCTCCGTTAGTTATGAACTGAATTTCATGAAATTCAATATGGGCATAGCTTTAGCCATATAATACGCAATGCCAAAACTTGAGTCGAATCGATTCAAAATTCACAGTGCCCTTTTCGCATCTCGACTATTTATAAACCGAATTGCCAACTTTTTTATTTATAAAAGTATTTGAATGAAATTTACTACATAGGCACTTGGAATAAATGAAAATCTAACGCCAGTTTCAGAATTTGGTTTTGCGCATGCGCAGTGCCAACTTTTTCAGTTTATGGAAGCATTTAAATGAAATTTCATACATAGGTACTTGGAATAAAGGAAAATCTGACACCAGTTTCAAAATTTTATTTTGCGCATGCGCAGTGCCAACTTTTTTTATCTCTGGAAGCATTTAAATGAAATTTGATGCATAGGCGCTTGGAACAAGGAAAATCTAACGTTAGTTTCAAAATTGAGATTTGCACATGCGCAGTTCCAACTTTCTTATTTAGAAAAGCATTAAAATGAAATTCTTCTTATAAACAGAAATTAAAGTAGCACGTCAAAAATGGATTGCAGATGTGCAACGCTATCTTTCATATTTGTGGCCGGATTTTGACGATTTAACAGAAGTTGCATCTTACAAATGGGAAATGAATACAAGTGGAAATGCGCTTTTTGTAAATCGTTTACGTTTACTTTTTAACTTGTTATCCATGTAATACCATTTTGACGATAACCTACAAAAAATTGAGATTTAACCAGTAACCTTAAACTGTTTAGTTCATACCACCAGATGAACAGGAAGACCTCGAGTACGTCTGAATTCAAGATACAATATTGGATCAATAAACAAGAAATCAATGAACTGGAGAAAGAATTGGTAAGCATAAAAGAAAATGAAAATCGAATCGAAAATAAAACTATATACAAAAAACAACTAAAAGAACAATTCATCAAAATTTTAATAACGGAAACAAAAATATAGACACTTACAAAAACAATGGTCAAAATAGGAAAAGAAATTGCAAAAAAGAATAAAGAGAAGGAAATTTGCATCCCAGAAAAAAAACAAGGAAACTCATTGAGGAAAGACGAAAACTAAACGAAGAAGGGAAAAGAAAATCGATAGAATATGCAGAAATCAATAAGACAATTAGCAAAACCATTAAAGAAAATAACAGAAATAAACATAGAAAAAGGTATAGAGAATATCAAGAGTATGAAATGTCTCAGACCTAGACTGGGTAGACTTGAAATAAATAAAACATAAAACAAGAACGGCGTATAAACCAATATTAAAGATGACATCATAAGTATTACACAAATGTTCTATATAGAACTAAGCGAGGAACTAAGTATATCAAACAAAAATTGAACCACCGACAGGAAGAAATCTTAAACCGACTTAAATCGAAAAGAAAGCTTTTCAAATTTTAATATGATGTAGACTGAACCTTTCTGCGCACGTATTTTCACTTTAAAAAATGAATTTTTTTTAAACGATAGAGCTATAGCAAGAGAGTTATTATCGCATAATGCACAGGGTGTTCAAATTTCGATGGGTTTAGTGTACTTATTCATTTATTTAATCTGTACCAAATTTGGCCTAAATTAAATATAAGTGAACGTAGAATCAAACAAAATGGTTTGTGAAGTAATTCCAAATAGTACCCGTAAAACGACTGTACAAATTTTACTTTCATTTTCTTTTCTTAAAAAACTGTTCATTTTAGATATAGACATATCTATCATGCGAAAGATTATCTCTTGCAGAAAACCAAGCCTGGATAGAGCAAAAGAGTGTTGTAAAATTGCACAAAAATTAGATAAATGGTAAAACCTAAGGGCTCAAAAGGCAGATTTCGATTTAAATAGACAATAAAACAAATCATTCAACTAGGACAATTGAAAATAGTGACTTAATTGGCTCTTAATTACAGAATGCAGCGACTTTATTGGTCAAAAATAAATGAAAGTTTCATCCAAAATTCCGACACTATTTTGGGAATTCCTTAATATTCAGTTGCGTGTAACACAACAGTGCCATCATGATGCAAAAGGAAAAAATGAGGCTTCCAAATTGTTCTCGTGACTTAAAAGTTACAATATGAAAACTATACCGGGCGATCTAATATAACTGCAGACAGTTTAAATTTGGCGCGTAAAGGTTGTAGTGTTTTGGCAAATATGTTTAGAAGGTGGTTTATTTATGCAGTAAGCGCGATCCATTGGCGTCGTTTTTTATGTGAATTATTTTCTTACTTGCTTTTTAAAGTAAATACCTAGTTCTTTTCAAAGATTTTTTTTGCAAATGTAACAAAATTACCTACATTAAAAGAAAATACCTTATAAGGATCATGTAACCTTACTTTTTAAGGGTGCAACTGTGCTTGATATGTAATTTTAATTATTTAATTGAGATTATTGTTTAGTGGTCCATTTAATTGATCCACCACTGCTGTAATATAAATGACCATTGGTATGTTACCAACTTTATAATTATTTAGTTTTGCAGGAAATTCAAACTGTTAGCAGTCATTGTGGATCACCTGGTATTAGAAATACTTTCCTGAAAGCCAATATTTCATTTTTTGAAGGTAGAAAGGTCACAAAAATTATTTTATCTGGAGAACATTGGTAAGTTTATTTTCATTTTTCAAATTGAAAGTGAAGGGTTTCAACATTTGGAGGTGAAAGGTACACAAAGCATATTTTAAGTCGCTAAACTGAGATTCCAAACAAAGTTACTCATAAAAACACCTTGGTAGGTACAGCTTTAAAAAAAACCTTTAATTAAAAATCTAGGGACATAAAGATGAAAGCGCCGGTTTCAAGATTCTTTTAAACCATTTTCACTGCTTTAAAATTGAATTGAAATTCACTGTGTCTATTACCTGCTTTAAAATTTAATTGAAATTCAGTGTGTAATATGAAAACCGAGATGAAAACTGAATTGGAAGCTGAAATCTTATATTGCAACATATTGAATTTTCCTTTCGTAGTTTTATATTTTAACTTGAAAGTCACAAGTTTCAAAATTTGGAGGTCTGATAGTATTGAAAATTCTGAAGAATGAAGCTTTTAAAACTTCACATTTTTATAAAGAATGATACACAAAAATATTTCAACTCGCGATTCAGAAACGAAGCTCTTAACTAAAATTTAAACCCGTGATCTAGTTTTAAATTTCAACTTGAAGCCCAAATTTTGGTATTGAAGAACGCATAAAAAAATCAACAATTATTTTATTAACTGTGAAGAAAAACACTTGGGGGAGGGGGAGAAGCTGGGATAGAGCAACGTTTGACCAAGTTTGCAATTGGGGATAACTGGAATGTAGTATGAATTGTTCAGCACATTTTTTCCACCACTTTCACTTTCTCAATCTCGGTTCGCAAATGTAAACCATATTAATTTTAAATTAATTAAAAGTAGTTAATTGATTGGGAATGTGCAGAAAGAAAATGCGGCTTTCTTTTCGGAAAACTGCAAAGTATCAAACATAACAGGGATGTATGGTTTTCAGAATCCAGTTAGGACCTAAATTCTTATGGTTTATAGGTAGCTTGTCTAAAGAGAACTAAGCTTCGCACTGAAAAATGTAAGCAATTGATTAATTGTAAAAGACTTAAATTTTTCAATAAAAGAAGCTTAGTTTTCTACAGAAAAGCTAAACCATTTGCATTTGGGGACTGTATAAAGTCTTTCTGAAAACCGCATCTCCGTTATATTTTGTATTTTCGGCAAAAAAAATCCATTTTCTCGCTGCACGGTACCAAACTTGATAAACAGAACCAGGAATCACTTTCTCAGTTCTGGGTTAATTTAATTCTGTTCAAATAAATTGGGATAGCAATTTGCAATTTAATTTGTGAATTGTGAATTTTCATAAAACTAAAAACTAAAAATTCCCGTTAGTTCTATGTAATAAGGATGATCATTAAATTAACTATTCCCAAGAAAAATAAATAAAACAACTCACCCATTTGTAACTTTCCCGGTTTCAACGACATCGTTCGATGCACTATCCACCAGTTTCAACAAAAAGAGTACATTAACAATCACAGAAAGTTTCATTGTTATTATTTTTGAAATTACTTAGCACAATGGAACATCGCTCATTTGAGCGGCAAAGTGTAATCGACGGATTGAATTGCAGTTGCAACTCGCGACTATATCAACTTACCTTTATTAGGTAATAATACTTGCAAAATCATCACCTTTGAATAAAACAATATTAAATTCCGTGTATTATTGTATTATTTGTTTATGCATAGCATTGACGAATGTTATAATAGGAAGTGATTAGTTTGCAAAGATACTTCCCTTTGTGGATTTTTGTAACATAATAGTTATTTGTGTACCAAGGCCGTAAAAGTGATCTTTTTTGGCCGAAGCTGCTGTTTGTGGCCGAGGCGGTAGCCGAGGCCGCAATTCAGATGAGGCCTAACAAATCACTTTTGGCCAAGGTGCACACAACATTTTTTAGGCGATCAAAAAAGAATTCAAAAATTTGCTCATAAACATATTTTTTCTGAAAATCATAGTTATCTTAGACAATTAAAAACAAAGCATTTCCTGTCGTATGTAATTATAATTAGCACCTTTGCGTGTGTTTTGTGCGTATCAAAATGGGTGATAGCGACAGTTCAGATACCCCAAATGAAATTTTGGAAGCTGCAAGCGTTGCGACCCTAAGTCATATATGATATAAGAGCAGGCATTTGAGAGTAAAAGTACAATCGCAACTTCCTCCGTTGCACAAGATTTTAATAATGTCAAATGCAATAGGTCCTTCGTAACTGTGGCTTCCAAGACCTTATAGTTAACATGCTGTACCTACAATTATTAGAAACCTGATTTAGGTAGCTACTTGTGTTCTCGGTTAATTGCTGGTGATTGATTCTTCGTAGAATAATGTAAGCAATAACATCTTCCTCATGTTTTGGTTCTACACTTCAAAAAGGTCTGCAAGCAGCAAAGATTGAAACGTCAAACTATAATTTTAAATGTGAACATTGTGATTATGCAAAATAGTGTGAAACATTCCTACAAGTCCGAAAATGAAAAAAACGCACGTGGATGGCCCAATCCTTGATGGCGCGAGACCAGATAGACGCTTTGTATTAAACAGATTACTGTTTCTCAAACATCAGTTTCAAATAAGTACAGTTTGACAGATGTGTACAATAAAGTAAAGTTTGACAGAAGCGTACAATAAAGTTAAACTTTATGGCCGCAAAAGCGTCCACAAAATCAACGTTTTTGTGATGATAGCCTAAAAATGGTGTTTTTAGGCTAACTTTTCAATTCAAAACTTCTCAAAAACTAATAAACACACAAGAAAATTGTAATGAGCTTTTTTGTAGAGTTTTTTAAGCCACTTTAGCCCGTGTATATGAAAAAAATTTAAAGAAAATGTTTAAGCCGTTATGGCTCTTTTAAATTTTTTTGACACCCTTCAGAAAGATGGTTACGGATCAAAACCAAAATAGGACGTTGCCGATTCCCCATACCAGACGGTTTTGACGAACCGGCTATATGCACCCCAAATTTCGTCCAGGTCGGAGGTTTTTTAGTTATCGTGTTCAAGAAAAACGAACCACATACATACACCCACACGCAGACATCAAGCAAAAACTCACTTTTTTTGGGGTCTATGGATTTTAAAACGTCCAGGACACACAATATTGGCATATCGAAAATTCATCACGGTTACCTACAATACTTTTTTTATACATACTTCTTATGTAGTCGGAAAGTAAAAATGAATTGATTGAACCTATTAATGGAATTAATATCTTTAGAGGTTTGTAAGAGCATCGCCTAATAAATACTTCGGGCAGGGCACTGCGGAATAGGGGCAAAAGAGCTGACTGGCGAAGGCAGTGGCAGGATTTTCATCGCGCCCGAGCCTTCTCTAGGAATGCCTCGCCCATCCAGGGTTAAAGACTGGATTCAGACAGTCCAGGGCAGGGAATAATTAGCCAGCAAGCCTGTGTATCTTAATTACACTGGCACAACCTCGGCCTCCAATGTTTTTCCTGCTTCCAATGAGACTGGACAAATCTTGACAAAGGATCTTCTGATAAGGCCATGCTGAAAACAACATTTTTGTTTCTGTTCTTTCATGCCAGGAAGATTCTCGTTGATGTTTTGACGAACCGGCTATTGGCATTCATTCTTTTTCAACCATGCCGGTCCAAATGTCTGTCCCTTCCCCATGTGACCCAATTTGATAGTAACGCTCGCCATGAACCAACCATGAGGAATTCGTTAAGTGTTCTGCTTGGAAAGCTTTTCGCACGTTATGTCGTTGACGGACTGAACTATCTCAATTCCCATCTCCTCAATTTCCCAGATGGGCTCGAGCGAGGCCTACGATACTTATTACATCGTAGGCCTCGGCTCGAGTAGATTTTCAACGTTTTTGATGGATGGTCAATTCCAAATAGTTTGGAGTTCTAAATTTCGAAACGTCAACATTTACTAATGGTAAATTATTCCAATCGAATCTATCACAAAAATGTGATAACTTGATGGAAGGACGTGTATGGATGGATTGAATGATCAGCTTGCATTAATTTGGAAGTTATGTTAGAGGCATATACAGGGTGTTACATATAAGTATGTAAAAAACATTTGGGTGGTAGAGGGGATCAAAACAAGGACTTTTTCCAAATAAACCGAGAGTCCAATGTGTTTCGTTTGGAAGCCACCACAACAAAAGTGGTAAAAATTGCATTTCTTCTTTAATTTTTTTCTCATTAACCATGAGAGTTAGAAAGACTAGTGGCACGTCTTTGAATAGGTTTTCGGGAATCTGAAATTTGTTTCCGAAAATTCGAAAAAAAAATTCCACTGCAATTCTTTGTCGGTCAACGAAAATGGAGATTATTCCACGAAATTCGTTGTGTACATACTATTAATGAGTTAAAGAACAAAATTGTCAAACAGTTTTCAAACAAAAGTATACTCATTTGAAGATTGGGTCTTCGGGTCACAGTGCCCCTCGTATACTAGTGATGATCTAATTTCGCATGTAGTAGGGTAATTCACTGTTGAAATTAAAAAAAAAATTGGTCCACAAATAAGAAAGTTGATAATGCAAATTTTTATTCAGTTTTTGGGGATTTCCCGAAAAGTGGCGGTTTTTCAAGAAGTCAGCTCAAAATCAATGGGGTTCATTTACGAGACACCGTAAACCATATTTTGTAATAAAACGTATATGTTTTTGTATACCAGAGGATCTATCCTGCCAACAAGGAAAATTCCGACAACGACAACGATACTCGAGAACAGGATTTGTTGTTTAAAAACCATACCTTGTGTATTTCTCAACGAGAAATGGGAAAATGCTTTTTGGGCAGGGGAGGAGTTCTCGTAAGCTAATCTATAGGTGTAAACAATTGCGATGAATTTCTGTGAGGGAGTACCTACATTTCTGGAAGAATACTTGGAGAGAAGGTAATTTTTGAAGGAGTTCTCTTGGCGAATTTTGGGGGGAGTTAACTTTCTCGATTATATCTGGGGCCAGTGGTTTGGAGAACGAATATCCGAAAGGACCTTTGGGACCGAATTTAATGGCATGAAAGATCTACAAGTGCCGCAGTGAATATGTAAAATGAGGTCTGACGTCATACGACATGCTCTAAAATCTTCTATATCGTTTCTACGGTGCAGTGTTTGATTTGGTATGCAAATTTATACAAGAAAAGCATATTATCTTGTACGAACTACGTCAACTCCCCATTAAGTTACCTACATAAAAACATTGCGTATACCTTTTTGGAGCAAATGCTGTTCTTTCGCTGGGCAATTTTTACCTACCTGTACCACAGATTCGTTGGGAAAACGATCATGTACGCACAGGGAAATTTAAACCTCGAATGCCCAAAATATTAATGGTAATACCAGGTTTTGGTTTATGAATTGCCGTCAAAAACCTAATTCCGTGAAAAGACAGGAAAATGACTATACTCGTTTGGCAAGCATTAAGTTGTATCATGATCATGGGAATCTCTTTGAATTAAGAATCGTGCAAGAATTTTTTCAAAGCGTTACCCGATCATTACCTACCCTTATTTTCTGTGGTATCACATCTTGTATGCAGAATGAGTGACCTAACATAATTGCAAGAATTACATAAGAGCTCTTTTCAGAAAGACGGCGTGATGAGACACCAATGTTTAATTTATAAAATATTAATAGTACGCACTAGGTAACCTTGAAGAATATTTTGCAAAGACATTAATTTCCTAGTGCGTACCCACGAGTTTTTGAAGGTATGTTTTGTTATTAGCTGAGCATAAAAATTGTAAACAGCTGAGCATAGAGCTTCCGCGTACAAAATCACATCATTCTTAAAATATGAAGGAAAACTGTGTGTGAGCAAAATTCCTAAGCTTTTAGTCTTATTTTTTAGTTTAAGAGTATTACCTTGGAATGGTCGTCAGTTTTGTTTTTTCTTCACTATTTTTCGTCACAACTCTAGTTGAAAAATTTGCTAACTGGACTAACAGTTAGCATTTTTCATTAGAAGTCAATGGCCTTGATAGTAGATAATGCTAATTAAATAAGTACAGAATTTGCCAAGGGGGCGGAATAATATACAGGATCAATCTTTTATTATCCAGTTTTGACTTACCATCAATAAATAACACCTTATCGACTACCAATTTCCTTTTCCATTCCGCCGCCCAGTTCGCTCGAAAAACACGTTTAAAGTTTTGACTCCACCATCAGTAAGATCTGGTCTGCTCAACCGCAGTTCGGGAAAAAAATTCCGCCACGCAGTAGTTGTGCGCGTTTTCAAGATCTTTAAAACGACGCCAATTTGAGAACCCGAAACTATAGAAAAATATAGGAACAAACTGAACAATCACCACGTTATCACACGCTCGGGGATTGCGCCCAGATGTCACCGACTCCACATCATGTAGCGCCGTCCCTAAAGTTGTTAATTACACTGCCTCGGTAGGTACATGTACATTGTACACTCCTCGTTTTTCTACAAGCGTTTTTCTACGGGAAAGTACTGGAAATTATTTCACATATTCAGAGGATAACAAATTTTTTTATTATACCTGAATCACAATCTCCGTTTTAAACACTCAAATGCGTGCGAAAAAGGGCCTTTAAAACACACGTGCTTTAAAGTTGCTAAGTAACGATACTTCAAGTATGACTTTTGAAACTGTCATCTGGATGAAATAAAAAATCCTCTTAGGTCGCTTTCTGTAAATGCAGAACATTTCTTTGGCTTTTGTACCTATCCTTTGGTTGAAGCTTTCACAAACGCGCGTAATTTGGGTATGCTTCCAAATTTGTTCCACTTTTTAATCGCAGCATTGCTTTGAAGTTTTGAATGAATGCACCAAAATATAGAAGATTTAAATACCTTTGACATTTCCTTCATATATGCCAGCATTATCGATGCATTTAAGACTGTATTCGTAAGTAACTTCCTATTCATCCATGGAAACAACTTTTCATATTCTTTATAATAGGCCTTAGGTACTGGAGTTGGATTTTACACCTACCAACGTTTCTTTAGATTTACCGATTTAATTGACGGTGTATTATCTTTTTCAATGGACATCGTTTAATTCACAAAGGCGATGATTTTTATAAGCAAACGTCAAGTGACATTTCCATGGCAATCTTGAAATTAGGCCCACTTAATTAAACATGAATTCGAGTATAACGTCAATATGATTTCATTGCATTTCCTGTTTTTAAATTATACTGCAGGTATAATAAAAAATACTATAAGATACACGTGTATAATTGGTCTTTAAAGCACTTGCAACGTTAAAGGCAGTCCGCTTTGCGTCGTGCCCTTAAACTCGTTGCGCGTGCTTTAAAGACTTGATTATACACTTGTATCTTAATATACTATTTTGACACGCGGTTTTTGAGTTTCTTAAATGGTCACATATAGATCATGTGATATGCCATTAGAAAGCTTATTTTTTTCTCTTTCTTACTATACTACCGTAATCATAACTGGTGTTAAATTAGAAAATAATGGAGAAATCATATTTCACAAAATTGCGATTAAATTAAATTTAATTAAGTAGTCACAATTAAATTAAGTATAAATCTCTTTCAACGGAAGCTGACGGAACGAAAGGGAACCGGACTTGCCCCTGGAGAAGGTTTCGGAACAGTTGCGAAACGGATGCGACAGAAAACACGTTAGAAAACGGTCTCCAAAAATCTTGCGGGCAGGGGCGATCGGCTTCTGGCGAAGGATCTGAAAGCAATATTACGGCACATGGACACGGTAGCTATTGCCCTAACGGGAACGCAAGCATCGAAGCGGCAATTAATTAGCAGTTGCTAAGGGGAATCAAATGCAGGAAAGCGAAACAGTATCACCCTTATAATTAATGGAACTGATACTAGTAAAAAGCTTACCTTGCAATTAAACGATTAAACGAAAGCGCTAAATACGGTGCGATAAAACTTAATGCCAGATAGATTTACGGAAAGTATCAAAAATTAATACAGTACTTACAAATGTCACTAGCACTTTACCATTTATGAAATTCGGCTATTTCATGGAGTGCTCGACGGTTTTCCAGCCGCCAGTTATTGCTAATTGTACTTTCTTAATTTGCCGAATAATACTTCTAAATTCATAATTCTAATTAACCCTATTGTCTCTTGTAATGTCTCAGTTCAGGCAAAAGGTCTCTTATCAAACTGATAGCGGCGTGTGAAGCTGTATGGCCTTGCAGTTTTAATGCTCGTTTTAAATTAACATAGGAAACCAAAATCACCTAATAATTACTTAATGGGACTGAAATTCTAGATTATTAATTCGCCCTCGTCTTCTAAAAGAGCTTTCGGACACAACAAAGATAAACTAAAACTTGCAGCGTCAAGGCGGAAAATAGGTGCTTCGTTGCAAAATTAAAATTTATTTCTCACGTAATATAATACTCGTAGATGTAAGAAAACGTATATTGGACAAAGGACGAGTAAAATTTTGTAGGTTTTTTAATTACAAAAATGTAAGTGTCCTTAAACACTTAAATGAGCACAACCTTTTGATCAGTGATTTGACAAAGAGCGGGTAAATCCCAGGAATTTTTTGATTTTGTATAAAAAAAAGCAAGTATCCTTAAACACTTCAATGAGTACGATCAGTGACAAAGGCCGAGTCAATTCCAGGATTTTTGTAGTTGCCAATGATTTTAAGTTACGCTTAAATTTGTCGGTGCAAACGACCATAAGTGTGATTTTTGTCACTCATTAAACACCTGCTTTTTTTTGTTGATTTTTGAGATTCTGTACATTTAAACTTATCTAAATTTAAAGAAAGGAAAGAATAATTGCTTTCTCAGCCATGGAAACAATAAATTTGTCTTCTTGAAACGTGTGAATTTCTATTACTATTATTACTACTATTACCATTATTATAGAATAGGTATTCCGAAATTTTCGAAAGTGAAATTGCACAAATCACGCACAAAAGACTTACCTTACAGCATTTTAAATCAAGGAAATGTTTATTTTTGTCGACACGAAAAGGTAAACACGTAAACACTGATTAAGAAATAAGAAGCAAACTGGGCAAGCATGACACGTATAAGGAAATTGCACTCAATCTTATGAAATGGGGACATTTATGGAGATATACAAAGCATAAACTGTTTATAGGTAATCTAATTATTGTATGAAGCAGGATGACGTATAGAGCTGGCGGGTATAATAGGTCACAAACAACAAATCAGGAACACAACAAGTGCAGTAGTAATAGAGTAGTAGAGATTACTATTGGGGCAGTACATAAGTCATAACAAGAATTATTATAAGGGCAAATGTAATGCACACTGCAGAAAACGTCTGTGGTATGGGTAGGGCATAAACAGAGGGATAATGGAAGACCTAGTGCACCTATTTAGTTACTTGTATTTTATTCAGGAGCTTAAACTTCAAAGTTCCAGTGAAAATTCATCGAGGTCTATTCCTAACGCATTAGACTATATAATCAAGGGAGTTCAAACACATTTTAGACGTTCGTGGGAAAAAATTCATCTCTGTAGGCATAGGGAGACATAATCTAGACAGCTGCTGGTATGGGTAACATATATTAAGAGAAAACGTCTGAGTACTTTTTATTTTATTTGATTCCATAATACAATATTATCACGTCCTAGAGATATCTAGAGAGTGAAAATAGTTAAATCCAGTTCCTCGAATGTGATTCTCATACAAAATATTTCCTACTACGAACTTATTTGTTTGATCCCATCTTATAAATAGCTTGATCTCGCGTTGAGTCCATAAATAATTATTATACAGCCGCAGTTCCCAGTTGGTGAAACCTTTAATAATTTTACCGCTTATACAATATTAGGCCAGTATTTTTGTACAAAGGAATTCGACTTTAAGTGGAAGTAAACCTAATCATATTGAGATTGATGGAAATGGCATTAATTAAATAATCATCGGGAGCACGTTAGAAAATTGATGTTCTAAGTATTAATATTGGTTTTTTTTGTTTTGGCTAACATTCAAAACTATTACACTATGATTGACAGTCGATTGCACAATGATTGAAATAATCGATGGATCTAAGTATTACATCAGTTACCAGATCTAATTATTAATAGATTGTCCACTACTTAGCATTACAAGTCGCTTTGATTTAGCAACAGTGCATTTTCGGCTCCTGTTTTTTCAATGAGATGCTCAATGATGAGGGGTTGAGTCGGAACTGTTCCATCTAATTCGTTTGCAAAAACATCTTCGTCGCTTTTATAATCATCCGCGTTTAGACACTCGATCACCGTTTTATCGTCCGATTTTTGACTGGTATGGGACTCTTCCTCTTCGGTAACGGTTTCCATTCCCGGTATACCTAATATCGGTGACGCTTGAGCAGTTGGTGGGGTAATTTTACCGGCTTTTCCTAAAAGGTAGTACGTCATGAGCTGCCCTTTTCCCTTGACCGCCACAAGACCTCGTTGCTCAAATTGATAACCAAAGTTTTGTAAAATCTGACACGTTTCTTCCGTTACCTTGAAATGAATAATTAATTACTTTTACAAATTTCAAACGTTATACTTGCCTGAATACAACCAGCTTTCCCTGTGCTTTCCATTCTAGACGCCACATTTACGGTATTCCCCCAAATATCGTAGTGAGGTTTTCGGGCCCCTATTACACCCGCGGTTATAGGACCATGATTTATTCCCAGTTTTAGGACAAAATGGTTAAAGCTCTGTTCGTTGATGCTTTGTATCGCTTTCTTCAGTTCTAAGGCAAATTCTACCAAGAGCGCTAAGTGAGCCCAACGAACGGTGATGGGGTCATCTGGCTGTAATAATATTTCGTCACTTACTTACTCAGTTCAATAGCGAGTACCTTCACTTGACGTGTAGGGTTCAGTCCACTTGCGGCCATATACGTAGAACCAATCGTTTTGATTTTGATTATGTCTTGAAATTGAGGCAATCCCAATAGCTGCAATAAAGAAACAGTTGGTTTTAAGTGGCGTTAAATGTACAGTGAATCTTATTATTTACGTAGCCAATCATCGAGACCGAAGAAATAGACTATAGCGGTGTTGTGGTTTTGGTAGGTATGAAGGCTGCGTAAACCCCATACAAGATTCCATGCAGGTTAACTCGCCTCGATAACTTTGATCATTGGTCAGCTAGAGCTGGGTACTGCTCGCGAGCGTTTCGCTTGAAATAGCGCTCCAAGCGGAAAAAGCGCTTACGAGCGAAACGCTCGCGAGCACTTTTTGGGGCGGCCGCTTGGTGCTTGATACTTAAAGTGCTCGGCGCACGAGCGCTTTTTTCGCTTATGAGCTTTTTTTCGCTTGCGAGCTCTTTTTCCGCTCGCGAGCGCTTTTTCCGCTCCTGAGCGTTTTTTTCGCGCTTCTAACCGCTCTCAAGCGCTGAAGGATTAAGCGCCTCTCGTGAGCGTTTTTTCCGCTCACGAGCACTTATCCAAAGCGCTCGCGATAAACCGCTCGAGCTCGATGCTCGCGAGAATTTTGGAGCCAATTAGAACGCTCGTCGCTCGAGCGGTTTTTTAGACCGCTCGACCCAGCTCTGTGTCGCTATGAAAATTCCTTCTCAACAAAAAGTCATCCCTTTGAGAAATTACATGCCTTCTTCCTTTTAGCATTAAATCCAATTCCCATCAGTCGTAATTGTCATAGAAACAGTCAATTCACCATTGAATTCTTTGATTATAAAGTTCAACTAGGCTGTTATGAACAATGGTGCAATTTTTGAACTTGAACGTGATTTTCTTTTGAGCGAGCATAGTGGTGCGAATGGAGAAAAGTAATTAAGAGTAGTAGTAGTGCTTTCCTGACTGCAGGCATTACCGGCAAAGAGTTTTTTAAGTATTTTCGTTTTTATTTGCCTCATTAGGGCAGATTATTTTTTGGAGTTTAACATTGCGAATTTTTTGCGAGAGTGTTTTGGAGGTGCATATCGTCGTCTTTAGATCATTTTCTTTGCGGTCGAGCTGAACATGATTGCTCCATGAGAGGAGCTATCCCTTAACGGTCATTTTCCCTTGATTTTCCCACAATTATTGAAATCAATTTTTTAGAGGTGAAATCGTTCCGAATTTTTCTGACCACGACTCGTCCTTCCCGCGACTATTTCACAGGGTGAATATTTCGAAAGAGGATCATTTCTTTTAAAAGTAAATATTTTGAGAGTAAACTCCCATGATCGAATTTTTGAGGGGGAGTTCCCTGTGAATATTCGGGGGGAATCTAGGGGGAAGCAACTTTGAATTTTTGGTGTACACTTCTCTGAATTAATTTGAATTAACGTGAATTAATTTGAATTAGCCTGAATTAAATAGAATTAACGTGAATTAATTACAATTAATGTGAATTAATTTGAATTAATTCGAATTAACGTGAATTAATTTCAATGAGGGTGAATTAATTTGAATTTACGTGAATTAACGAGAATTAATGTCAATTAATTTGAATTAATGTGAATTAATTTGAATGAACCTGAATTAATTTGAATTAATCTGAATTAAGCGTGAATTAACATGAATTAACGTGAATTAATTTGAATTTGAATGTTTGGTGTACGCCAAAAATGGTACTTGTTCACCTTAAGAAAAATTCGTTTCTAAAAATCATCGATTCCTGAAACAATTGCCCTTGTAAATCCCCAGAAAATTCGCTTCAGAAAATTTGGTTGCACTTAAAAAATCACCCTTGGAATATTTCATCCCTAAAGTTTTGTTTTCGGTAAAGTTTCTCACTGGAGATATTCGCTATAGAAAAATCCTCATCCTGAAAATGTAGCCGCGAAAAAATAACTATTGTGTTTGATTTTCAAAAATTTGTTCCCGGAAAATTTCTTCTGGGAAAATTCCCTATGGAAGAATTCGCTTTCGGAAAATGTAAACTTGAAAAAGTCGCACTGGGGATTTGCTCACCGGAAAATTCTTTCCTGGAATAATTGTATAACAAATTTTTGTCTTGGAAATTTAGCCTCGAAAAAATCGTCCTTGGAATATTTGACACTTAAAAACATGTCTCGCCCGGGGAAATTTCGCTATGGAAAAATTAAAACACGAAAAAATCGTTCGTGGTAAACTTTTCCCTGGAATACTTGCGTGAAAAGTTTGCCACCAGAAAATTTAGTTTCGAAAAAATCTCCGTTGGAATATTTGACCCACAAACACTCGTCCTGATAAAATTTGCCCTGGAAAATTCGTTTCTCGAAAATACGCCGATTCCTGTAAAAAAAAATCGCCCTTAGAAATCTCCTGAAAATTCGCTAGGAAAAATCGCTCTCATAAAAAAATGCTCGTAAAAATCTACCTTCGCTATAATACTTGCGTGAATAATAATTCGTTTCCAGAAAATTTTATGCGCTCTAAAAATCGCCCCTTGAATATTTGACCCCTAAAGACTTGTCCTCCGAAAAAAATATACAAGGCAAATTCGCTATGAAAAAATTGCCTTTTTAAAATGCTTCCATGTAAGATTCAACCCGTAAATTCATACAGGGAATATTCGCCTCTACGAATTTTTCCCCCGTAATGTTTGCGTGACAATTTCACCCCCAACAATTTTCGGGAGGGTTCCTGGAAAACTTCTTTCTTAAAAAATTCGCCTACCGAATAAAGTCGTTATTAGAATATTTGAAAATTGTTCTGGGAAAGTTCGCTATGGAAAAATTCGCTTTCGAAAACTTTACCTATGGAAAATGTAGGCTCCAAAAATTGCCCTTGAATTTTTCGTCCAGAAAAGCATATACAGAAAATGATGAAAAAATCATCTTTCGAATATTTGCTCCCCAAAAAATCGTCCAGGGAAAATCTGTCTTGGGAAATTTACGTTGGAAGTTTCTGCCCTGAAGTACTTGCGTAAAAAACTCGCCGCCGAAACTTGCGTGGAAAACTTGTCTCCAGAAACGTAAAAAAATCTCCCTTGAAATGGAAAAACTCTCGCCCGTAAAATTTAATATTGGTACTCATAAAATCGTTCTTGGAAAATTTTTCCCTGATATGCTTGTGTAAAACATTTGTCCCCAGAAAAAAATCCACCGTTGGAATATTTTACTCGCAAATTCTAGTCCTGGTAAAAATTTGCCTTGGAAAAATTCTAGATGGAAACAACTTTGAATGTTTGGTGTACACCCCTCTGTATTAATTAGAATTAACCGGAATGAATTATAATTAACGTGAATTAATTAGAATTAACGTGAATGAATTATAATTAACGTGAATTAATTAAATGAACGAGAATTAATGTGAATTAACATGATTCAATTTGGATTAATGTAAATTAATTTGAATTAACGCGTGAATTAAATTGAAATAACGTGAATAAATTTGAATTAACGTAAATTAGGTTGAATTAACGTGAAATAATTTGAATTTACGTGAATTAATTTGAATTTACCAGAATTAATTTGAATTTACGTGAATTAACTTGAATAAACGTGAATTAGCACGACTACGTGAATTATTTTGAATTAACTTAATTTGAATTTATGGTGTACACCAAAAATGGTACTTGTTTCCCCCTAGGAGGGTATTTTTTGATGTAAAGGACATTTCGGAATCGGAGTTGGAGTAGGCAACCTTCCCTTTGACAGCAATTTCTCTTGAAGTTAACCTAAATATGATTCATAATTGAAGCAAATTTCTTGGAAGGTAAATACTTCGGCGTGGGCTAATGTTAGTTAGAACCAACTATATCTACTTTTGGGACCATGTTTTTGGAGAACGAATACCTCTGCAATGGCGCATGTTTTGAGAAGGTGGTTCCTATACAGAACGCTACGCTGGTGGGTAGTTATTCTGCAGGCGACTAATCTGGAGGAGGATTCCATGAGAGAATTTACCTTGCAGCAATTTTTCTGGAGGTAATATTCCGGAAAGCACATATTCTTGGAGATAACAGTGTTGAAAACGTTCTGGGTTCAAGCCATTACGCAGCTCCATATGTAGCAAATTGATTAGGTATATGTTTCAAACCTCTCAAACATCAGTTAATTCCCGTGTCACGCCCACCCTCCACAATAGTCCACTTGCTCCATCCAGGTCCCTAAAAAACTGCGACGAGCGTTTGGTGCAGCGTTTGCAGCTTACCAGACTCAGGTCTCAGAAAGGACTTTGGCATGAAGCAGTGCTGGAGCTACCTCAAGCACACGCCTAGCGAATCATCAAGACATTTCCTTCATTCAAAATAGTTCATTTTAAGGCATTTTGGTCTAAGGGTTACAAATTTAACTGGTGGTGATAGCAAACTGCTGACAAACCCACAACATCGTGGAGATTAGTTTTGCGGAGAAATTAGTTATAAATCTTAATTTCAATATTTGGAGTTATAAATCGAAATTTTGGGCTTAAAATATCAAGCTTTTAGGGGAATTTTTCGAAAGTACAAAAATTCTCCTCATGTGATGGTTTTATCTGTTTGTCCGTCCGTTCGTCTGTTCCTCGTTCAGCGATCAGTGCTATTTAATATGAGCCGGATCAAAAGTCTGGTTTCCTAATGCGAGCCGAATGGCAAAGAATTTCCTTACTGAAAATTTGATGCGATTCGTATCTAGTTTTTAATTCGATCCTGAGTTTTAACGTGGACCTTTAGAATTCGGTGGTATCAATTTGATAGCTTTAGAAACCAATCTATCCTAATGCTAGAACATGATCAAAATGTGTGTATGTACATCTCCTGACTAGTTTCCTAGAATTCGTAGTTACTGGGAAGAATACATCTTATAATTGTCTAGTTTTTTTAAAAATAAAGTTTAATAGCATTTTGTATTTTTATGAATTTCGAGGTACCGTAAAACGGGGTGACTTTTGATTCGTGTGGTGACTACGCGTGAAATCGGTTAACCATTATAAAAGTCTAATAACTTTGTTGGTGTCTGTTAGTTACATTTTTACGTTCGTTGGTTGATCGTTACTTAATTATGCAAAATTCAAATTTTTGAATTTTCGGAATATTTTTATTGCAATCGTTTGTTTGTGGTTTGTTGGTGTCTGTTAGTAATTAAAATAACGATCATCCAACAAACGTGAAAATGTAACTAACAAACACCAACAAACGAGCAACAAACGCTTGCAATAAAAATATTTTGAAAATTCAAAAATTGGGGGGCTAACTTGACGCCGGTAAAAAAATAATACAACAATTGAGCAATGAATGGTGATATTATAGAACCGAAAAACGGCAAAAATAGCACAAATGCGAAGTACGAAAAAGTAAGTCTGTAATTGGAATCCAATTATAATAATTTGACTCGAAAACCGAAAAAGAGTGCAAAGTTAAGCAGACTACAAACTATGACGAAGTTCGACATTTCGCTATCGGTATCGGTTCAAGGAGGTAACTATACAATAGTTCTTTATTATCATCTGGGCGTTTAAAGTTAAACGAAATATTTAGTAATATTGACCCCATATTCTAACAAAAACCCGATGGCGTTCGAAAAATTTTCAAAACCCGAATAAATCAGCTGGGTGGGCAAACTTAATCTAAAATTTAACTTCGTTAATTATTATTTCGTGACTACAACACTTACCTAACTTCATTAGTCGCTAATTGTTAAAGTGCTTCTCCTCCAGTTAACTTATTTAAAAATATCTTATTCTTTCGTAAAGTTTTCAGTGTCTCCGGACAATCGTTTTAAATGGACAAATCGAGGTTTTAATACCTTACCTGTTAGTAATCCCAAAATCAATTATCATTATTACACAGCGAAAATGTGTAATTACACCGCAATACAGCAAAAGCTGAAGTTCTTTTCAGTCTTATTGAAGAAATCTATATGGTTTTGAGGTTTCTTCGCCATCGAGCATGCATAAAGGAAGGTAGGTACCTACCTATAGTCCGTTCAGTGTAGTCAAGATCACATTACGTCTGTTCTATAAGCATTTTGTAATACATTTTTTTAAGTACAACCTTTGAATATAGACTACTAAAACCATAGTATATTGTGTTATATTATGGTGCAAGTTACAACCTACCAAAATAAAAACAGAAGGTAATAATATGCCTTATACAGCCTTACGTATACGTATACATGCCGTATAATACATTTATGCTTTTACTCTCCAACATCCATTTGGAACGAATTTAAATTAATGGAACTAGGTATACCTAGTCCATAAAATTAACTTAAAAGATAATTCGTTAAAGTATATGTTGACTTCGTTACTTAATGAAATGGATCGAGGCGAACATGAACCTTTGTTGCTTATGAGCTCGTTGTTTCCCAAACCGTGAACACCCATTTTTTTAAATCAATGAATATTGCATATGGAATAAATAGTCAATATCCTGGTGGAGATGCATTTTCCGAGGCGAATGGATAATTATAAAAAAAAGCTTCCTCACCGCGTCAAAATCCGAAATAACTTCATTTAGAAATCTCAAACACTCCAACCCTTGATTGTTCACAGTCTCTTCGGAATAAAAATCTAAAAATTAAAATTTAATCAACAACGTAACGTAATTATAATTTCATTTTACCGGAAAAGTTAGGCATAGAGGAAAACAAGACACCAATTTCTGCATAGCTCTGCGAATATAATTCGTCGTGCTGTCTTTTCCTATTTCCCATAAAATGCGCGGCCACATGTGGCGGCAGCACGTTGTAAACTAGTGCCTCGTTTCTCCTTCGCATATCTGAGGCACGTTCTCGTTGTTCGTTCACCTCTGAGCGCCAGAGAAATAAAAGCCTAGAAACCTCCTCCATCTAAAACGCAACACGGGAACGTGTACGTCAGATGCCAATAAAACGTATTACTCACATGTCTTGCCAGAAATATGAGAGCGAGGGTGGCTGTTACCAATAATCCTGATAGCGTGTATTTGCTTTTGGTAAAGCTGAAAAGTAATCGGAGTTTATATTAAAGGAAATGATGATATTAGAGATATACTTGGACCAATGCTTTCGAGATTCCTCGCAATCGAGAGCGGGCGCTAATAAAATAACGTTAACAACGCAGTGAGCTGCCGTAATTAAGACCATAAAAAGGGTTTTACATAGATAGGAAAGAGAAGCGGGAATTGCGGATGCAATCAGTATTAAAACGGTAAAGAAACTAAAATACGAAGGATAAAGGCATGCTGCGTTTGTGTCTTCCGTTAAAGAGCAGTTTTCTTGCACCTGCCCTAAATTTAAAGGCGAACAGGATATCTACAAAGTGCTCGTTTTATGACCGCCGTTTTTCCAGTTTACTCACCGTATCGGTAATATTGAGGGTCGTAAGTAACACTATACAAGTTATGGACAAAACCCTTTGCATTAAAATTGATTCATTGATCTTCCGGAAACACGACTTTAGGCAAATGGAAATTGGCTGCAATCAGTTGAGTCAATGCAAATAACGAATCACACAAGGGAGTCTCACCTCCGGAAGGAACTCCACCAACGAAATTGCGGAAATAATCATAAGTAGAAAGCTGCCGATTACAAACGAAAGAAAATTCATAAGTCTTCTGCAAAATTAAGGGATAAATTACTCGCCGCTAGCAGTCAGCGCTTACCTTGGAAGTACGATAAATTGCGAAACACCGATCGCTAATCTCACCACTAAGAATGCTTGTAGGGTGATATTGGAAAATGATTCGCTGTGAAGCTGGTACGATTTTTCTAACTCCGGCTTTATAAATCTCAAGGAGTGCATTCTCGTATTTTTCAACAGCTCTCTGAAAAACGTTGGAAATTTATTTCGCGGGTAGGTGTTAGAGTGGATAACTCACCTGTGACTTTCTCTACTAACCAATTCCTTTTTTAATCTATTTTTAAAGTCTTCGGAATCTTGGCGAGTTTTTGACGTGACTAAAGAGTCCTTCAAAATATTTTAAATTACATTTTTTTCGAGGATGAAAAAAATTTAATTTTACCTCTCCCTCGTCCTTACTATCGGAGGCAAAGTCGGCAATTACGCAACTGTCTTCTTCGGGTATTATGCGGCCACCGTTTTGTACTTCGGTCTTCGGCTCAGGCTGGTACTATAAACAAAATTGCGTTAGCGTTATTAAATAAGCAGCAGTTGGATGTGAAATAAAAAAGTCCTTTATACACCTTCAGGTGGTGGGTTTGTTGTTTTAATAAAATTGCTGATTAGGCGAGTTTGTCGCATAAAAAGATATGTCAGGGAAAATACTGCTAGGTATGTTAAATTGGGAGTGATCACAGTTTGCGTTCAGTTTTTCTGTTGACAATTCCAATGCACTGGGATAGATGAGCTTTTTGCAGGCGTTTAGTTTATCGCATAATCTACATGAAGTGTGAACTATTCATCAGGATGCTTTAGAAAACAATGAGTAAATAGTCAATTTTTTACACTTCACACTTGCTCTCATTTTCTAAATAATGTTAATTCATTTTTATGCAGCTATATGAACATCTTAAATTCCATTCAACGTTTTATTCGCGCTAAACGAAAAATTCTTTCTTAATTGCAACTACAAGATCAAGAATTTAAACTAGTTGTAAATCAGCATATGGAATAAGCGCATTTTTGGTAATACAGATCAGTATTTTAGTAGCAACGTTTAAAATTATCTCATGAGTAGTCTAACTCAAAATAAACTAGAGCCTGCACATCTATACACTATAGCAGAAAGCTTTTAGTGAAATTTTGAAGTATGTAGGTATTGCATGAGATCTCATCCGGACAGCCAGCCAGCCAGCCATAACGAATATAATAGAGTTTTTGTATAGTGGGAAAGGAAAATTATAAATATCGCGGAGCGACCGAATTTACACGATTCGGGAAATCTATCTTAGAACATTAATGCGTCGTTGGCAAAGCCGTGACAAACTTTTCAGAAATTGGATAGAGGTCAATTAACAAGTGCGCCCTCTTCTGCGTAGAGTTAGGTGAAACTTCATCTAGCGATGAACTGTAAATAACAACCATTCCTTGGAAAATTGTCTTATTTTACTTGAATTGAAATATTACATAGTTTTTTTTTTACTTCATTGTGAGTAGGAGTGTCGAAACCTTTTTATTGTAAGATGAAAGGCATTTTATCATGCGAGATCGTTTTGAAACTATGCCTATCTAACACTGTCATGAAAATCAAAAACGTACAGTTCAACGAGGGTAGGGGCATCAAGTTTTTCACTATGCAAACACTGTTGGGATGTGACATCATTGTTGGGAGTATGTACGTGCCATGTTTCAAATTATAAGACGGCTTTTAGACGGCGACACTGTATGCGAGGTACTCTATCAACACATTTTGTTGCAGAAGTTCGCGTATTCGTAAAGGAAAAGGGAATTGGCCACGGCTATCCAGGGGAAACGAGTCTTCCAGTGAAACAACCACCGAGGTTTGACAAAACTCATATAATTTTGGGCGCCAGGTCTGTACAAGTCACGCCAAAAATAAAAAAAATCAACTAAAAATGAAATAAGAATACAAGCTTTTCTGAATCCTCGGGCACCGGTGGGTATTTATAAACAATCTCGTCTTGGCAATGAAGAATCCATATACACAAATAATATTTAGTTACATAAAACAGTAGGAAAATAAATTAGCAATTCTGGGCCAGGATAGGTACACTTAACTAAATGAAAATGTTGAGCCAAGATTATCACTTATAAAGTAGGTATAGCTTAATCTTACCTCGATTACAGACAGAACATACAAAGAAAAATATACCAAAACACTACAATGCCCAAATCAGACCTAATTCCAATTAATTCAAACTTACGTATCCCATTAATAAATGGGTTTCCGATTGCGATATAGGTAAAAAAGAAAGATAGATCACATATGGCATAACATAAAAAGACCAGTGTTGAAAAGAGGAATTCTATGAAAATAACTTTACCTAAAGAAGATACAGCCAATTCACATTCGCGTAAAGAAGCTTAGATAATTAATTTAAACAATTTCAGCGTGTGGACTCTGGAATTTTCTCATTTAAATAAAATTTTTCGCAAAGATCGACCTGTCATTTCAACGACAAAAGCAATAAATGATCTCAATTCCAATAGTGCCAACTACTCGTAGCACACTAAGAGGGCATTCAGTCAGTTACACAAACCAAGAGTACATTCAACGGAACGTTACATTTCTGTGAACGAAAGGTCTCATGGGCGCAACCCTGTCAACGATGTATCTGGTCCGCATATACATAGTCAACTCTAACCAACCCTCGCGTGGGGAAGTCAACAAAAAATCTGAAAAAACTATAAAGAATAAAGTCCTTAGCAACCATATTCAGAAAAACGTAACACCAGGAAATGGTGGTGCGGTTTTTTGTTTAGGATTTAAATTTTATGGCGCGAACACGGAATATGACTACACTACATACTATACTGTAATGTAACTACAGGGGAGTCTCGTTTCTCTAGGTTGAAACAATGCCGAAGATGAGAAGGAGCCATCATTTACTCGTTGTCAACGTAATTTCGGTTTAAGTATCGATAATAGCAGGCGGGACATCCTGTATGTAAAGTTATTCAAGATTGTTTCATAGGGTTTGGGTTTAATTTCAAATAAACACAAAAATATAATAAGTTTAGAAGTTTTAATTTTAAGTAGTCATTGTAAGGATAGTGTAACGTGATTTATAAATTCGGGTTCGATTTATATCAATATTTATTAAACAAAACCAAAACACTATAAAAACCGTACAATTTATATCGATTATTTATATCACACACACTTCGCAATTTATATTTCCGCGCTCGATCTCATTCGGTAGTAAACTGCTTGCGATTTCGGTCCGCAACCATTTATACACGCAAGCAATGTAAGTCCACTCGCGTACATTCTGAATATTCCTACACAAATCCCCACTATCGCGCGCGTAGAAAATTCCAGAGCGCCAAAGGCGACGTCATGTCTGGAGCGTTTCCGTTACACTTCCCCCTTCTTAATTCTGGACGTCCGTTCAGAAACTGCATTAGTATTACTTTTTAATGCCTCGTGTCGGAATCTGCAGTCAGAAACTGCTCGACAAACACCTTTCTTGAAAAAGTAACAGTCCACAGTTTTGCGGAGGGTCGTCCCCTGTGGGTTGAAGCAGCATACTGTAATTCGAACGCTAGTGTTTCTAAAAATCACTTCGATCATGGTTCGCACTATTTTCCAGTCCAACCCATCTAAACCACATCCAATCTTCGGGATCGCCAAGCTATTTATGTCATAGTATGCCATGAGTTTCTTTAAGCTTTTTAAAGCAGATCAGAGGTTTTCATAGGTGAGTTTCCCTTCTGACGTTTTCTTTGAAACCAAGTAGAACAAAGAGCGTTGACTATCTTCCAAGCGCAGTACTTTACCCACTCGTGGTCTTTGCTTTAACAACTCGTCTATTCTTCCAAATCTTTTCCGGAATACGGAAGCTATACCTCTACTTATGCGAAGGTCTTCGGCGACACAATGGGCGATGGAAACGTTAACCTGAAGCTCAAAAATATTTTGACAAATTTCCTGAGTAACGCCAAATCGAGCATTCTTCCGCTGGGCGTAATTTGACATAAAATCGTTAAAGTTTGGCTCGATCCCAAAGCTGCGTTCCTCTTCTCGAATACCTCTAACTTCTTCGTTGTTGTTGAATCCGGCATATCGTGCGAGTCGATTAATGTGGACAACTTTCGGTTTCCGGTGGTTCATTCTGATACGATATATCACGTCATTTATTTTCTTGATCACCTCATACGGACCTTCCCATTGTCTTTGTAGCTTGGGAGAAAGACCTCTTCGTCTCTGTGGATTGTGCAGCCATACCAGATCTCCAGCTTCAAAAGTTTCATTGGCCGAGCGGAGGTTGTATTGATTTTTCATGCGATCGCTGGCAATCTGAATATGACTTCTAGCCAAGTCGTGAATATCGTTCATCTTCGCCTTTAGTTGGTCAACATAATTTTCACCTGCGACATATTCTTCATGGGGTTTACGCCCAAACTCGAGGTCACATGGAAGGCGTAGTTCACGACCCAACATAAGGCAGGCAGGAGTCTGACCCGTGGTCTCGTTGACGGCTGATCGATATGCCATGAGGAACAGGTGGAGGTACTGGTCCCAATTTTTCTGATGTTCTGCCACGACTTTTGAAAGATATTTACCCATCGTTCGATTCATTCTTGGTTTTATTGGCTCCTACCAATCGACAAACATCTTGGAACAAAGCCGATTCAAAGTTCCTTCCTTGGTATGAATGGATTTCTATAGGAACACCAAAACGTGTAAAGAACTCCTTTACCAACACTTCTGCAACTGTTGCTGCCTCTTGGTTTGGAATAGCGTAAGCTTCAGTCCACTTTGTGAAATAATCCATAGCCACTAGGATATATTTATTTCCGCCATCTGTCTCGGGAAACGGTCCTGCGATATCGATAGCAACTCGTTCCATCGGACTACCAACGTTATACTGCCTCATGGGTGCCTTCTTCTTGGAAACTGGTCCGTTTCCAGTAGCACATAACTCACATTTTTGACACCATCGCCGGACATCTTCTTTACGGTTGACCCAATAGAATCGCTCACGTACCCTTTGCAACGTTTTCGTAATACCAAAGTGTCCTCCGGAAGCGCCGTCATGCAATTTTCGCAATACTTCTGACACTTTGCTTCTAGGTACTACTAATTGCAGCGTCGATTCGGTGCCATCTTCACTTTCAAGGGTCCTATACAACAGGTTGTCTTTCAGAGTCAGGCTATTCCATTGGCCCCAATAACTCTTTACTTCAGGACTTGTGGCACTAATGTCTTGCCAGCCTGGTCTTTGTCCGTGGCGCATCCAATTCAGAACAGTTTTTATACTTGGGTCGTTTTCTTGGGCCGTTTTGATTTCGCTTGGTTTCCATTCCTCACTCTCTACAGTTGTTCGTCGCAGATGGCCAATCTTGTCTTCTATTTTAGAACAATGTGTGCAGTTGTCCTTGCACGGTCTTCTTGACAAAGCGTCTGCATTTTTGTGAACTTTTCCAGACGACGAAATGTTTACAGTGAAGATCGGGGCTTTGTTTCTGCAGGTCGACGATAGCCCC